AACTTTAAGAAAAGTTGATGAGAAGGAAGATTTAGAATTGATACAGAACTATAAATATTCATCTACAATTGATATGGCTAATTTTTATCAAGTCTAACATAAGTTCTCTCTCTCTTTTTTTTTTTTCTCATTTATGCTTTTAGTGTTAGAGCTTCTCTAAGAAATCATGCCTAACTCTAGGTCACAAAGATTTATGCTTATATTTTCTTACAGTGTATGCTTACATTTATGAGAAACTACCAAACTGTTTTCCAGAATAGCTATACCAATTTTATGCAGATCTCTAATGTATTGTTATATTTCTTTTTGATTTCAAAGAACTTGCAAACAAGTAATTTTTCTTTAAAACACAAATTCTGTAATTGGAAAACTATTTGCAACACATCACAGTCAAAGGACTAATCTTCCTAGTATGCAGAGAGCTATCATAAGTAAAAATAGACAAGTAGAAAAATGGAAATAATTCAGACATAGAAAAGATTTTCAACTTTATTATAAGGAAAACTTTTTTTTGCTTTTCTTATCATTTTTTATTAAATAAAAAATTTAAGCTACACTGAGGTACCAGTTTTCATATATCGGATTTATAAAAATAAAAGATACACGAGTAAATGTGAAAAATCAAATTATTACTCATAGCTGGTAGGAATGTAATTGTATAAAATCTCAGTAGAAAACCTTAAACACTATATATCTCAGTTGTGATTAATTATCTCCATAATTTTACAGGGTTTTTATAGGGATTTATCCTCAGATGTACATAAATGTATTGCAACATTATTTTCATTAGTAATTGTTTATGCACAGTATAACTATTCATCATTAGGTACCTAGTTAAGTAAATTAAGATTTATCTATGAAATAAAGTATGTCTTTGACCAAAAATAGTGAAGCTCTTTAAGTAACAATTAAGTGAAAAAGAGCTTGAGATATATGCATGCATCTTTTTACTTATATTTGCAGAGGATAGTGGTAATACTCGTTGGTTGCAAAAAAAAGAAATTGAGTAGTTGGAAGACAGATAATGGAAAAAAACTTTTTTGTTTTTATGCTCCTTAATGATTTAAACCACTGTACTATGATTACCTATTCAAAATATTGTACATACATTTAATAATTGATAAGAATATCTGAAGTAATCTTTTAATTTATTGGATCACAGAGAATTGTTAAATTTTCATGATAAATACTTCTCATTGTAATAGACAATGAATATTGAAGGCTTTCTTATTTCAGGTAGAAGCAGTAAGTACTTCAGTGCAGGACTCAAGTGTACTTGTACAGAGAAGCACACTGGACCTCATACTCTTCTGTTTTCCATTCCACATGAGTCAGGTAAAAGATGAATGCTAATGTTAATATGAGGCATTCTTTGAAATATTGTAGAGTTATGATATGTAGTTATTTTATTAAGTGGATTTATTTAAGTTGTTTATTTTGTTTTATAAACCAACAAACAAGTACCCTTTTAAAGGATGTATGAAAATTTTTGAAGAAAAATTTTTGTAGAAAAATAAGGAAATTGAAATAAGATTTTTTCTTACTTTTAAAGTCCTAACTTGTAAGAAGCAAAAGTTAATTCATTGTCAGTTCTAAGTGTGCCAACACATTATTCTCTCTGTTATTCTATTTCTGATTTTGTGATTGCAGATGTATCAGGTCCTTAGCAGAGTTTGTTAAAATTTGAAAGTCAAATATTTAATCACTAGTTACCTAGTACTAATTATCTGGTACTTTTATTACAAATGAGAGCTAGTAACTTGACAAATTGTGAATGAAGAGTTTCACTGTTTTGATTTAGTGTTCTCAATTTTAAAGAAGTCATCTACTTTTTGTGTTCTAAATTTTAATGAGGAGAGATGTAATGCACATTATTATGTAAACATTAAAATATGGAGAATTTCTACTTTGGAAAAGTAAGTTTCTTTCTATAAAAGTCATTGACAGAAAAAAAGCTGTTATTTGGGAGTTTTGTCAGAACTGTGGTTAGTAGATATACAGTAAGCTTACATTTAGAATAAATGGTATTTTACGAAAGTAGCTATTTCCCACCACACACACACACACACACACACACACAGTTTCAGTGTGATTGTCCATATTTATATTTTTATTTATTCACATTTAAATTGAGTTATTTATAACTGAAGAATTTGCAGTTCATTTTCTATATTGTCTGTAAAACTATCCCTGGTTTCTATTTTGACTCTCCATTTTTAAAACAGGGTTTCTCATTTTGCCCTTGCTTTTCACAGAAATGCCCACTAAAATATTTCAATGTGCTATGGTATGTGTCAGTCGATTGACCAGAACACATAGAAATAGCAAAGAGAATTTCATTGTTTGAATCAAGTAAAGAGACAAAGGAATCACTCCAAAAGCACTGTCTCCCTTTCTTAAAGGAAGTTTAGGATTTTTGCAAGATTGTTGGTATTTGAACAAGGTAGGGCAGGGGGAAATATCTAGAATCAACTGACAAAATATTTGCTAACTTTAAAAAATAGCAATAATAAACTTATATTGAGAATGAATGATATTTTACATTTTCCAAAATTTTAATTTCCTCATGGAACAAATTGTAAAATTTGAGTAACAGGAATATTGTTTTCCTTGAAGTAACAGGCTCACTTTATTTTTGAGAAAATATCTGCCAGGTGTCTAAGCTGGAATAGTAGTTTGTGTCATTTTTCAGGTAAAAGAGGTATCCTGTAGGAAAAAATAGTAGTTCTGCTTATAATTCAGTCACACATGTGCTTTTCCTTGAGAAATCCATCATACTTCAGTATATGTCAGCAATGCTTTATAGTTGCTTCCCATTTAGTTACACAGACTATTGAAAGACATGTTTGTATACAAGGGTCATTGTTTACTAAAATTTTTGGTGTTTCATCAACATTCTTAAGTTCACTTTTTAATTTTTTTACTGATAGTACATGGCAGTAAAAAATTCAGTGACTGCAATTACAATAAATGTCACTACTATATTGCTTTTTGTACTAAGGTACAAGCACGTTTATATACTACCCTATAACAGAGCAAAAGTCAATATATATAGAAAACCCAGTAAATAACCTATTAGTGTTGTTATTATTATTATTATATCTTTTGGCCCTTCTGAAAGGGTCTTAGAGATCTTTGAAGTACACAAACTGTACTTGGAAAATTGCTTAGATTAATAGACGATAACTGTGTTCAAATGAGAGATTGCTGTTCTGAAACATCTTAGTTCTTTCTCTGAGTCCTTTAAAACAAATAAGCTGGGTGGATCCCTTTCTAACCTGTTAAGAACCACTGTGGAATAAAGCTCAGTCTATGATTAAGGAGAGAGATAGCTCTTTATCTAGCTGAAGCACCTTAATCAGATGTTTTGATTAATTACTTAGGCCATATGATGCTCAGGTCCATTATTCTGCAGTAGTTGATAGTCTAGTTGATTTTATCATTATCTTCTAATGTTCACATTCCAAGTTTCCGTTACAAAGTGATTATCTGGTAATAGTCTTTTAAAATTAATAGTGATTTAGTTAGCTTCTTTTATCTTTATTTTAACTTCACCTCTTTTAGTTAAAGCCAGATATATTTTAGTAAATCATTTTTTAAACATCTAATCAAGGTTACTAGGAAAAAAATAGAGAAAAAATTATCTTTAAAAGTGCTAGGTAAAATGAAAAATTTATTAAGATTCGTTAAAGCTCGTTGATGAGTCCAAAGAGCCTGTTACAGTTTTTTGTATTTTACTGTACATTTGAAATACTTTGTGATAAAAACTTTTTTAAAAACAAGGTTTGAGACTTAAAAATAGATGAAGATAGTGAATTTCAAAAGAGTTTATAGTCAGTTGGTAAGACTATAAATGTAAAAAACTAAAAGCATATGACTTTATTGTATCTGTCCTATCTTGCTCCATTTTCTTTCTTTAATGTCAGATTTTAATAATACTGGACAGAGTATTGTTAAAGAACTTTAAAGTGTAGTTAAAATAAATCAGTTATAGTTGTAGTTATGCAACTAAAGTATTTCCTGATCTGTAAAGTTAAACTAACAATTCCTGCATTTGAAAGAATGAGCTAAGTTTATCTGTAAGTACCTTGTTAATCTTGAAGTTTGGAAGTTGCTGCAAAATATTTTTTAAAACAGAAACAAAAGAAATTAGTGCAATCTCATTCCTGACTTTTTCAGGCCACTCGACCAGATATGATCAGGATCCTGTCTGCAGCCCTTCATGTAGTACTAAGGAGAGATATGTCCCTGAACCGAAGACTCTATGCATGGCTTCTCGGTAGGTGTGTGTTTGTGTATGGTCTTCAGGGACCACAGAAAGAGGGAAATTTGGCATACATAAATAATGTCAAGTTAGTTTAAATGGACTATGAAATGTGAACACTGTAATTGTGTATTCTGTGAAAAGCTTCTTAGTAAATCCATAGGTCATATGTTCTCTCTTAACAAGATTTTACCCCTTATAAATTGAGAGGTTGTTAAATACTATAAGTATGTAGACAAAGAAGGATAAGTTAATAATGTAGTGATATAATTTCCAACTTTGAAGTCATCAAAAGACTAGTGCTCTTCCACACATGGTCCCAGTCTCCTTCAGGCAGTAATGTACTGCATACACTTCCTCTTCCATACTCTTTGTATTTGGCTTGTCTTCATAGCTCCTTCCTGCCAAGAATAAGACTGCACATAATTTTTCTTAGATATCTTGAATCTTCAGTTATTTCACTGTTTATAGGATTATTTTTTTAAATATTGGGGTAATTCTGGAAGAATACTATGATACTCACATATTGAATTGGTTTCCCTTATTAAACTATCTAAAATGATCTCTCTTGCTGACATTGATTGGGCTACTAACTGGTAAGTGTTTAGTACTGTTTTTGAGCTATTTGCTGTTTTGGTACTTAGTAAAAAAGAGTTTTGAGAATTTCATTTTTAGTTTATTTTATAATTTGTTTCCATGGAGGTTTTGATAACAACGGCGCTATCATAGGACCCAGAAGCACTAGACACAGTAATCCTGAAGAACATGCCACTTACTATTTCACGACTTTCTCAAAAGAATTGTTGGTCCAGGTAATGAATGTTTTCATTTTAGTTTTTGGTTACTCAGTGATCACTGGAGTTATCTTAATTGAATTAATTCATAGTTGAAGGGTGGAGCAAGCCTCAAAAATCTACTAAAAATAAATATAACAAAAAAATACAGTAAAGTAAATTAACACTAATTAGACTTCTACATAAATCCAAATTTTTTAATACTCTTTCCATAATTTTTTTTTTATGAAAATATAGTTGTAGCTTCTCGCCTGTCTGCCCTAAGGAGGTTTGAGCTTTTCCAAGAATGAGTCATTACCTGTGTTATTTTTTTTGAAGCCTTGGGAAAGTTAGGGTCACAAAAGGAATAAAAATGTGATAAAATAATTATTGTAATGGAAATGTTAAAATGACCCTTATTTAATACTATTTTTACTTTGACTATATTTATTCCAAATATCTCAAAATAAAAAGAAAATACTTGGTATCTCAAGCATTTTTCAATGACTAAGCATATAAGAATATAAATACTTTTGAATCATTAATGGGAAAATAATTACATAATAGCAGATACTACTATGATGTGTTATATTTTTATATATGGGGTGTGTGTGTGTGTATGTATGCCTAATATGTATATGTATGTATATATACATATATACATACATACATATACATATATATGTATGTATGTGTGTGTGTGTGTGTGTGTGTATATATATATATATATATACATAATGTGTCTGAGGCATGTTGATCTCAAATAGAAACACTTTCATTTTCTGGATATACATCCAAATAGTTCATGAATTTTTTTTTTGTACCTGTTTAACTTTTCTGCTTTTTTCTAGAAAAAAATGTAAATACTATTTTCTTCTTTCAAGAAAGGTTAATGTAACCTATTTTTTCCCCTTCTCATGAAGGAAAAAAACATACATTGAAATTGCCTCAGAAAAGCAAGAGGGGATCTAATTTCATTATATGTGGTTGTATTTAAAAATATTTGTTAAAAATTATTCTGTTTACTTAAATGACTATTGTGATTTTCTTTTTTAAAGGCAATGGTGGGGATCTTACAAGTCAATGGATTTGGAGAAGAGAGCACTTTAATGCAGGATCTAAAGCCTTTTCGTATTTTAATCAGTTTACTGGACAAACCTGAACTAGGTAAAATACTATCTTAGGGCATAAGGTCACATGTAGATATCTTGTATTGTTTCATAATAAAAATAATACAAAATTGTTACTTAGAAAAATTGCTGTATTTTGAAGTGGCCTTCAATTCAGGTTCTCAACGATTTACCATTAAAATTTACAACATTTAGGAGACAGAAAATTAAGGTATACAGCCAACCAGTATGTTGTGTGTGTGTGTGTGTGTACCCTCTGCTATGTATGTAATGGAAAAGTTATTTTTAAAGTACTGTTTAATTCTGATTAAATTACTGAAATTGGAACATTATGATCTATCATTAATATCATGTAGTTCATAAAATTCAAGGACTTCACAAAAAAATTTTGGGTTATAGCTCTCTACTTCCTTCCCTATGTTCTTACTGTAGTATACATTTCTTATTTATTAGATATATTGAGAAGTTAATTATTGTATTTGGGACAGAAATTAGTAAAAACAAATATATAATTTTATTAAATTATATGCAGAAGTTATATTAAATATGCATAAGTTCTTGTACTAACTCTTAAAATAACGAGTTTTATCTATGGCTCATAGAGTTTATTTTAGCTACATGTGACACATGAAGTTCAAGAATTTTTTTAGGAGAAGTGTCATCTATTATCGTAATAAAGTTTACAGTATTGTGCTATTTTGATTTTAAGTAACAGTAGAAGTAATATAAATATCAGTTCATGAAAACTCATATTCTGGGGACTCTCCAGTTTACAAAATTTTTCAAACCTTTTAACACTGTTTTGGCATTATTCTAATTCTAGATGAGTAACTAAAACTCTTAAGAAATTAAGTAACTTGTTTAAGATAACAGAGCTATTAACTGGAAAAAAATTCTCTCATTCTATAATTTTTGTTATGTCAATCTATAGTTAAATCAATATACATTTAGTTATTATCTTCTCAAAATGTGAAATGTAGTTTAAGTTCTGGAAAAAAGTTTTTATAAAGACACTTATTTTAGAGCATCCTTTAACTGGGCCAATTTATGCCAATGCTAATCAGTTATTGTCTAATATGACTATTATTTTAGGACCTGTAATTCTAGAAGATGTCCTAATTGAGGTGTTTAGAACATTGTATTCTCAATGTAAAGCAGAACTGGATCTTCAGATGGAACCTCCCTTCAGCAAAGATCATGCTCAATTAAGCAGGTAGATTACCAAAAAATACACCATAGCATCAAAGATGTTCTCATTTATTAATATTCATAAAGTAGACAATGACCTATGAAGTTTGTATTCTGAATGAGAATATTTGGTTTAAAATATGCCTGAATTTGGGTGATATGAATACACTCATAATGATTGAGCTAATCTTTCTAGCAGGTGATTACAATATGATTACTGTATAATAGAACCACTATTTTCCAGAATTTGTTCTCAAACTTACTAGATTAGAAAACTGAACTTTAGCAGTTACTGTGAATATACAGATTCCAGGAAATTTATTTACACTCACTAAACTTAGAAGATATTAATTGCCACATGTCAGTAATGGAAGTTGTGTTTACTTTGGTAACTAGGCCTTGCTATTTACATGAAGAGTACTTTATGATGACATGACATACTTAGAAAAAAAGATTTGTGCACAGACTTTAAATGATATCATATGTTCTGTAAAAAAAATTTTCTCCAAATTTAGTTGTTAATTATTCTTGGCATATTCACATATACTTGAATATCAGACATTGGATTAAGTGTAAAATATCCTGTTCTTTAAGTTAGTGATGGATAAATTTTGATAGTCTTACTCTTCATTGCTTCTCTTACTTTAAACAGCCTCTTTTCAGTCTCATTGATTGTAAAATGATAAAAGTTCCAGAAGTACAATGTCATACATAATTTGCATTTCATTAGTGTCTTCTTAGTGTTTATTCTTCCACAAATGTACATGGAACATTTCAGATGGACCATGTTCTACAATATATGCCTCTATAAACTTTAGAGGATTTTAGTCTTATGGGATATATTCTCTGACCACAAAGGAAGTAAATAATACAGTAATTAATCACAGGAAGATATATGAAAAACTCCTAAATATTTAAAAACTAGATAAACCTCTTTTTGAAATTAGTTTTTTTCCTTAGTGATATTTTTTAGATAACCTGGATATTCCTAAAACACACTTTTATATATTAAAACATTTTAAGACAGAGTTTGATTTCAAATATCCCTTGTAATTTTTACATGAAGTGTTGATATCATTACCTTTATTTCATTAAGTACTGTCTGATTTTTTTTTGTATTTCCCTGTAATTAGTATTTTATACTACAATTTGCTGGTTGCTTGTGCTAATAATTGTTTGAATTACTAGTAATGGTGGAAGGAAAGTGGATAGTAGACTACAGAGTTCCCACTTGAAGTAATAAAATAAGTATTCAGTAATAATGCTAAGTCTCAGTAAAAATTATAGTTCTTATCATGTTTCAAGCTAAGAAATCTGATTTAATCTTTCTTAAATAAATCTTTAATAGCACAAGAAAGCAGACAAATTGTTTTAGAGGCTGAGAAATGAAATCATGCCTCAGTTTAATATGTGCTAAGGGAAACATAAGGTCAGTGCCATGTTACTTTTAGGCTCTCAGAATAGTTCAAAGAAAACTTCCTGTTCTTTTGCTAGAAGCACAGCTGTTTCTTATTTTGATCATACATTTGGGTTATGAAAACTCAAATTTGGAAAAATGACTACTCATAAACAGGATAGGGGAATAATAAGTTTTTTGCAATTTTCTCTCTAGCAAAATTTTTAGCAAATAACCTAGGAATATGTACTGCTCTGACAAGATTGCACTTGTTCGCATTTGAAAAATTAATGATAATATTTATTAGTTTTTGTTGTTTGTCTTTTTCTTTTCAGTAAGTTAAGGGAAAATAAGAAAACAGCAGAGTTGATTAAAACTGCCAACCTTCTCTTTAATTCCTTTGAGCCTTATTATATGTGGGATTATGTTGCACGTTGGTTTGAAGAATGTTGTAGGTATGTTTCATTCATTTTAATAACATCCAAAGTCAACCTTTTAAAAAAAATCCTGGGTCTAATGAAAAGAATGTTCTTTTATGTGTTCGCCAACAATAACGAAAAACTAAATAACTAATAGCTATAATCTGGTTTTTCATGTCACCCTAGAACATAAACTCATTGATCATATAATCTTAGAGTTTAATGTGTAAAAGAGTTTAACAGATGAGTTAACTTTTTCCAGTACAGATGATAGGTTTTTTTTCCTCTTGAATTTTTAGTAATCTAATTTTCTTCATTGTAGATAGTAGATTTGTGGCTGCTGCCTCAGCCGGATTCCCATTTTGAATAACAAAAAATTCCTTGGTTACTCTTGTATTTGTAAAGTCATAGAATCAGGCCATATTGTTACTGGTTTAAAATCCTACACCTCAAAGGACACACAGCTTTTAAAGTGTTGTGAAAGCCCAAGAATACTAGTGAACTCAAGTGGAGTATCTTATTAGCACACTAGAACAAGCCCTCCTGGAACTCTCAAATCTCTGGAGTATCCAGTTGAAAAGCACCACTTTAGGCAATAGAGGGCCCCTTTCTTCAAAGACCTTTTAGTGGGAACAAGTCAGGAGTGCGCACGCATGTTCTTCGTATTAAACTAAATATAACAATGCCTTAATAGAGAGATTAGAATGAAATTGGAATATAGAGGAATCATGAGTTTTTGCCGCTGGCCTTAGCCTAGCCTGGATTTCCATCTTCATTCACAAATACACATCCACCCTTCTTTAGTTAACTGATACTATTCCTTAAACTTATGTTGACTTGTATGCTATTGATCTTTGTGCTGTTTATTTTAAAATCATCTTTCTCCTTTCCTATCTGAGAGGGTTCTATACAAAGGTCATCCACCTTTCAATAACCTTCCCTTACTCCCTCAAAAGGTCTCCTGTCAGGATCAACTTATCCTACACTGTCACATTGTTGTGTTTGTCTATATGCTTACATATCTTGTTGGTTAGGGTCTTTGTCCTTCAGAAAGTATAAGGCAAGATATAATGTGTATGATGTTGGAGAAATGATCCCTATCCCTGGATAGGAAGAGGCTTCCTGGAGGAGATAACAAACCTTGAAGAAAAGATGCATTCTGCATGAGAGAAGGAAGTTGGGGCAGGATAGCAATGCTGGAGGGCAAATTGGTATATACAAAGGGCCAGAAACAAGTTAAGGGAGAATACTGGTAATGGGAGCCATGGGCAATACTAAAAAGTGACATGCATTTAGAATACTTGGAAGTGCAGAATGTTAGTTTCAGGGAAAGAAGCTTAGGAACCTGGTTTTAAGAATTTTCACCTGCGAGTATAATAGTATACTGGAGAAAGGGAATATACTTGATTACGAGAACGAGAACATAACATTACAGTATCTTCCCCAATGTTGATTTGGCCCTCATTAAAAGACAGTGATGTGTTACATGTATCCATATCACTCAGTAGTATATAGTATACTTGATAAATTGAATTTTATCCTTTTAGGAGGACACTACATGCCAGATTGCAGATTGGGCCAGGAGATAGTAGTGAGTCGTCTGAGTTACAGCTGACCAATTTCTGCTTACTGGTGGATTTTTTGTTGGATATAGTTTCTTTGGTAAGACCACCTTGGTAAAAAGAAAAAAAATGCAGAAAATCTAATAATCGTTCAAATGTTTGATGCTGGATACAAATCTCATCTTTGAATAATTTTTATCTTTAAAATTTATTATTGCCTAACTTTTTCTGATAAAATTTTTCACATAATTGCCCTGACATATGTATACACACATATAAGTCTTAAGTAATACATGGAATATACTTCATAATTGCATGTTATTGAAATTTTAAATGTATATGCAGTATAATACTGTCTTTATACTCACTAATGATTCTGTCTATTAAATGAAGGAAATCTTTTCCTCTTTTCTCTCAACTCTTTGCTTTCTTATTTTGAAGCCTACTAGAAGTATGAGAGTACTGTGTCAGGTATGACATTAAGCCTGTTTTGTTTTTAATTGGTTGTTTTCACTTGTGTTATTATAATTTCAGTAATGTAACATAAAACTGGGGTTATTTTATAATACATGCTTTGAAGTAAATTGAAAGTTTGCAATTGGAAATTTTTTAAGTCATTGCTAATAAAATGACCATACAATGTTAATTAAGAGCATGATATATAAAATATTATAGATGAGTAAAATTAATTCCTTTTTTACTTAAAATAAATAATTTGGGGTTATCTGTTGTTTAAACTTAATTCTTTCACATTTTTATTTTCAGGAGACGTACATTGAGATTCAGACTGAACATTTGCCCCAGTTGCTGCTCAGGATGGTTTCTGCCCTGACAAGCCATCTCCAGACATTGCACTTGACTGAACTTACTGATTCACTCAGACTCTGCTCAAAAATACTTAGCAAGGTTCAACCTCCACTATTATCTGCCAGCACTGGAGGTGTGTTGCAGTTTCCAAGTGGGCAGAACAACTCAGTCAAAGAATGGCAAGATAAAAAGGTAATGTATGTTATCGTTTAACCTGTTAGACCAAATTTAGTTCTTCAAAAAGGAACAGTTTCTGAGTTAAATCATTATTATTTAAATACCAGCATATCTCTACTAGATCAAATTTGTGGCAGAAGGTTATCTTCTGAGCTTTTGACTCTAATGCAGTTTTTATTTTCTATGTCACAGTTTGCAACAGAAATAAAATGCAAATGACATACATAATTTCTAATTTCTAGTAAGCGCTTTTTAAAAAGTTTTAAAAAAGGACAATGAAAATATTTTTAATTTTATTAAGCCCAAGATAGATGTTACATTTCAACATATAATTAAATGCAAATCTGATATCAGAAAATTAGCCAAGTTCATTACTTTTTGTACTGTCTTTAAAATTCCAACACGCATTTTACAGTATATCTTCGTTCACGTACTAAATTTTTAATAGAAATACTTGGTCTAGATTTAATTTTATAAAATTTACATTTGAAAAATTAGATTCATGTACCAAGATGTTTTAAACATACTTGAGTTTTCTAATAACTAAATTAGGTATCAATTTTTTAATTTTAATTAAAATTAATTGAAAAAGTTTCTGTGTCACATCAGCCACATTTTAAATGGTCAGTAGCCACATGTGACCAGTGGCTACCATCCTGATAGAAAATTTTTACTCTAAACTTTGCTGGCCCTTTCTATAAATATTATATATTAATTTTTTTCTTGCATCATGGGTTATCTTTCCATAGCTATTGTAGCCCATAGGTGCAGCCTTTCTATAATCTATGCACATACTACCACCCAGATTCCCCATGCCTTCCCTTGGCCATATACTGAATTTTTCATCATACTGTTTTTGAAATCCAGTTTTTTTAGTCTTCAGTCTTCCAGATTTTTAATGCTTGCTTTATAATGTTGAACAGAATTACATAGTTTTGTGTCTGCTATGCACTTAAACAGCTATAAAACACATATAGAGAAAAGTCAATAATAAATTTCACTGAATATGTTAAAAAAGATAATTTTAAGTTTATTTTTTATTAAGGTTTTAAATTTCCAGCATACAAGGTTCTTTACCTAAACTGTGGATTTGTACAATGGCCCTTTTTTTCAGAGTTTTTTGTTTTTGTTTTCATCCAGGCAAAATATACTATCAGAATGATCTCATGTTTCTCATCCATTATTAATCATAAAACTTTTTTCCTAGACATATTGATCTTCATATATGAAATGAACTTTACTGGCTATCAGTCAATTTCACTGCCAAGATTATCTTGCAAAAACTAATATTTGTCTCTTATTTTCCTTTCATTCTGCTTACTACATATAAGTGATGTATATTGACTCTGTTGGAAAAATTAGTTTGTTACAGTATTTTTCCATAATTTATTTGTCCAGTATCTTCTTAGCAGTAAAATGAAAGTAGGTATTTCCTGCTGTTGAAGCTTTTTTATTTGAATGAGAAGTGTGAGTCAAGGAATGACCTTAGCTTTTTCTCAATAGCATATTCAAGTTTGTGAATATTTACTCTATAGAAAATATTTAGAATCCTTTATTGATGGATAGAGATAAAGTGCATGGGAACATTCATTCATATTAAATGAAGGAAAATAAAATAATAGCCTTTATTTAAAATATAATGATAATAAAATATGCCTTTTCCCTCATCCTCCTAGTCTCTCTGAGTTTCTTGTGTGTACCCAGAGTATATATATTCTTTTCCATTTTTTAACAGAAGCACAATATTATTATTGTGATTGATATGTCTGAATATTGGTAATATCTGAAAGGTGAAGGCATTTTATATATTCCTTTTACTGAAAGAATAGTAAAAAAATGATCCTTTAAAAAATTAAGAAATCTAATTTTGTCTCTTTGTGAAATTAGTATATTGACTCTCCCTACCCAGATATCCAAAAGCATATAATTCATTTCCATTTTCAGAAAGACATTTTATTATAAAATATCCTGAAACATATTTCTATAATATAGACCAGAATATGATAAAAATGCTTAAGTTTAACTAAATTCATAACTTGTCTTTGTGTAATGGTCACTGCTTTATGATCTCTATATTTAAATGAATATAGAATAAGCTAATGATAATTTTATCATGTAATTGAGACTTTTTTAAAAAGATGAATTGTACAAAATTTAAATGGTGGTTAGCCTTTTAAAGGAGAAAAATTGACAAGAAGTTAAATTCTGATACCTCTAAAATTTGGCATTATAATAAAAAGAGATCTATACTGTCTTAATGATGATTTACTATGGTAAAAAGAGCATGAAGTTTTGCTCCTGTGTCTATTAAGCTTATTTGCTGTAACCCTGGGCAAGTTCTTTTTAACTTCCTTGAGCCTCAGTTTTCTTACCTTTGAAGCTAAAAAAACAAATAGCCTCTCTCCATCCAGCACCCATTCTGTGTAAGGCACTGGGTACCCATGGTGAATTAAGCACAGCTTCTGCCCTTCTCAACCCTTCCTTTCTAGTTGAGAAACACATATTACACAAATAATTGCACATTTAATTATAGTTGTGGCAATGTATAAAGAGAAGTCAAAAGCACTAGGAACATGAAAAATGGGATGACTGGATCTAATTTGGGAGCCAAGAAAGACTTTCTTGAATAGCAATTGAGTGAAGGCCTTAGAGAAATTCAGATAGAAGTGAGGTGGAGAGGAGAGAGCACTTGGCAGAAGAAAGAGCATTTGCAAAGGTTGTTAGACAGAAAGGATCACTAGACAGTGAAGGAAAGATACATATGTTGAGGTAAGCAGGGACCAGGTCTTAACAGACCCTTTTTCTGTACTAAGGCTTTTATTCTTTATCTTAGGAGCAGTGGGAAGACACTGAAGGGAAAAAGGCAGATTTGTGTATTAGAAAAAGTACTCTGGCTGCAGTGTGGAGTATGGATCTGAGAAACAAATGTGGATGTGGGGAGACCTGCAGTAGTGCAGGTGAGAGGTGGTGATAACGTGTGCTAATAAAATGGGAGAGCGAAGCCTGGAATAAGTGGATGGATTAGCCATATACAGGAGAAAAAAATAGTAACAGTAATGGGATGTTAAGGGTAATGAGCAGTCATTAACAAATTCAGTAATTACCAAGTGTTAGGTAGTATGCCAAGTGCTTTATATATATATGTGTATATATATATGTATATATATATATATATATATACACACACACATATATATATACACAGCTTAATGCTTAAAACAACTGTAAAATGTAGAAATTATTGTCATCTCAGTTACACAGATTAGAAAACTGAGGTTTGGGGAAGTTAAGTAACTTGACAAGCTAACTAGTAGGTCACAGAACCTTGGCTGACTCAAAGCCCAGCACCACAAACTGACCCTTAACCACAGAGTGACTTGGATGGAGGAGGGGAAGTGGAAAAATTACTTAGAATCATCGCTAGGTTTTTATCTTCCCAGTTTGATTACCTGTGGTGTCATTCACTGAAGTAAGGAACTTGTAAAACCCAGTTTTGTACAGTATACCACTTAGTGCATATCTGCAGTTTAAATTCAAATTATAGTCTAGTACAATCACTCAAGAAAGTAATGATAATGTACAACTAAACTAAAAAATTTGATCAGTAATTGTATTCTTCATATTGAAGGGGAGAGAACAGTTAATCCATTGCAGCTATTGACTAGGCCTTTTGTTGTTGTTGTTTATATTGTAATTATTTGTCTCTATGTTCTCTATATTATAAATTATCCTTTGATTCCCAGTACCTAGTATAGTGTCTTGTGTATAATACTGTTTCATTAGTTGTTTAAATAATATAAGGTTAGTAACAATAATTACTACTTTGAGCAGTTCAGATAAAAATTTCACATTCATGTGGTAGTAAAGAGATGATCTGTTAAGTTTTATTTCTAACTTTTTAAGTTTTTTACTTGCATATCTCATTCCTTGCTGCATTGCTTAGATATGAGGAAAAGGATTTCATGAAATAGATTAGATAAATCTTCAGTCATTTCAAAACAAGGACATATATCCTAGAAATTTACACATATATAAATCTTGCCCTCAAGAACTTAACCTTATCCAGTACATGTAGTAAATAATTCTTAGTGAGGACCCTATACTAATATGTCCATTAGAATCACACCATCATTTCCTACTAATTCTCATAGACATGAGTAATTTGTAGAAACCATTTTAAGGTTAACTGAATATTTGGATGAAATTGTGAATAATCTAAAACTGACTTCTCTCTAGATGTAGCTATTTCTAATTTTTAATTCCTGTTATGTTCATTTAGCTACTTAACCTTTTGCTCTTTTAAATTTCTATCAGGTGTCATCAGTTTCTCTTGAAAATCCTACTGAAGTGTTTGAAGATGGAGAAAATCCACCAAGTAGTCGATCATCAGAAAGTGGATTCACCGAGTTTATACAGTATCAAGCAGAGCGAACTGATGACATTGACAGAGAACTGAGTGAGGGACATGGAGCAACTGTCATCCCAATTGGTAGCACATCTTCTGAGACAGAAACGGCCTCTACTGTGGGATCTGAAGAAACTATCATCCAGCCCCCTCCCAAAGTCACTCAGGGAACAGCAACCCGAAGTGGGAAGGCAGCCCAGAAGACTGCAATGCAGTGCTGTTTGGAATATGTCCAACAGTTTCTTACCAGACTTATTAACCTCTACATCCTTCAGAGTAAATCTTTTTCTCAGGCTTTGCCTGCGGATCAGCAAGGGGATCTCAGGCGAGAGCACGGAGAAACTTCAAAATGGGACAGGGATTCACATGGAGATGTAAAAGAGAGAAACATAAGTAAACAAAAATCTTCAAAGGAATACCTTTCCTCCTTCCTTGCAGCCTGTCAGCTCTTCCTGGAGTGCTCCAGTTTCCCAGTGTACATTGCTGAGGGGAGCCATAACTCAGAGTTACGTTCTGAAAAATCAGAAACTGGTAAGGTCCTCTCTTTTTTGCGTTTGTTTATTTTCTGTAGTTTTTTTCTCCTTTAACACTCAGATATTTACACTGGGAATTTTTTATTGCACAGTTAATAAAAGCGTTATTTATTTCCAATATTTTAATGAAATTTTGTCATACTGGGAAGATTGGCATATTGAAAATGCTTGTGGTATTGATACCTGTCATAATTTGCTTTCAAGTGAATAAAAACTAAGGAAGAAAACAATTTCCCTTCTCTTGAGAAAAATAGATTAATGTTATTAATAATCCACTGGTTTCCTCTTTTTATGGCTAGTACTATGTGTTTCTCTTCTGTAATTTCATACACACACAGAGTGCAGTGAGTACTACATAAGTCGTTGATTACTGTCTTCCAGACAAGCCAATACATTGTATGATTTAATAGAAGAAAAATACATATAGAAAAAGTTGGTGAACTACTTCTTTTTACTTAATTTTCTTAAAGCTATAGTCAAGATGAAAAACCATGATTTCAACACCTCAGGTGTTAAATAGAGGTGCTTTTGAAAGGTTTCATGTGATGACTTGTTTTCCGTTTTTTGTTTCAGACTGGGAGCATGTGCAGCCTCCACTGTGGCTTCAAACGCTAATGAATGCGTGCAGCCACGCAAGTGACTTCAGTGTGCAGAGCGTTGCTATTTCACTAGTCATGGACCTGGTAGGATTGACTCAGTCTGTAGCCATGGTCACCGGGGAAAACATCAATAGTGTGGAGCCTGCACAGCCCTTAAGTCCAAACCAGGGACGAGTAGCCGTGGTTATTAGACCTCCCCTCACTCCGGGTAATCTGAGATACATAGCTGAGAAGACGGACTTTTTCAAGGTAAATTCAAGAAATACATGCATGACTACGATAATAATTGAGTGTGCTTAGCAGGGATTTTAAAGGTGATAATCAGCTGACACCTTTCAATATTCTAGCATATTGAAATAGATCCCACTCTGATCTATACTGCTTTTCCCATCTTGTCCCCAGTTTTGTGAGGAAAAAGTAGATGAAACTGAGGGAGTAATAGGGTAAATAAAGACAAGTATTAAGTCACTGGAGCCTTGGAGGAAGTGATTTCAGCTTAAAGAGAGGAAAGCTCTTCTACAGTAAAGCAGATGTTTAAAATAAATATCATAAAGACCAGACTAGTAAAGTGGTTTAAAACAGTGGATGACCAGAAAGTAGGTAGATGGAAAGCTACACTTTTAAATTTCTTCCCATTGGCATGATATTAAATACCTTCCACATTTGGCAGCGATATAGGTGAGCCTAATAAGAAATGTTTGTTAAATAACTTTTCATTTATGTCTTTCTATGACTTTTACATCTTTTCATATAGCACGTAGCTTTAACATTATGGGGCCAACTAGGAGATGGCACACCTCAGCACCACCAGAAGAGTGTGGAACTATTTTATCAATTACATAACTTGGTCCCTTCTTCCAGCATTTGTGAGGATGTTATAAGTCAGCAGCTAACTCATAAAGATAAGGTAAATTCTTCTCTTGTCCTGTAATTTCCTTCTGCTCCCATTATACCAATAGATAGATTAAGGTAAAGTCATTGCAGCTATTATCTGAATGATATATAATAAACTTCATTTTGAGTGATTTTAATATACTTAAATGTGTTTTCTTCTTGGTAGAATAATGATTTTTAGGAAAGCATGAAAAGTAGGAAAATCAAGTTAACCTGAAATCAAATGCTGGATTTTTTTTTTGGTTCAGTATACTAGTTAAGAGCAGTGATGACTAAAATTGTTGCTAGTTTAAGTTCTTGGGTTTATTTAAAGGTGAATCAGTGGCCTCAGCTATAGGACCGATTAATGTAATTAACTAATGCATGGGAAATGAAAAATGTATAACTTACCACTTCCAAGTTATAGAATGCTAATACCTGAGAGAATGCTAATACCTGAGATTATATTATTTGCATTATAATATGCAAAGTAAGATTTTTGTGTTCTAATACATATAAAGTGATGTGTAAGTGGTTAGAATAAAAACAACAGCAGGGTCCTTGCTGAGGGTTAAGTCTCAGCACTATGAAGCTATCTGCAGCCACTGCAGTAGAGTTCAATGGGAATTGACCCACATGGCACAGCAGACCTCTCCTATCTCACTGGCTGCTTCCCTCAGCAGTACATTTTAGTCTGTCTGTTCTGCTCCCCAGCAGTACACTGGCCTGAGGAGCTAGAATAAATTCTTCTTCTTCACCTCTTCAGGCTAGCTTAATGAATTTATGGTCTTCCTGTGCCCTCTCTGTATTATAAATTGAGCATTTTATTCAACAGCTTCTCAAAGTGGATTTCCCTAATATATAATTTTTTAAAAATACTAGTGAGTTTGAATTAGCCATATTCAAAAAAAGCATTGTGTTGAATAAATATAACATTTGGTAGAGGAGAGAATCAGAGCGTTAAAGTGGGAAATTTAAGGAGAAGAGGAGAAATGGAATATTTATTCTAAGAAATATGTTAAAGTTCTATTACTCTTTAGTGCATTCTGTCAAATATTTCAGAAATCATTTTAAATAAAGCTTTGTATTTAAGTTTATTTTACATTAAGTATAATTTCAGACAAATGTTTACTTATATAATTTATACGGAATTCTAGGTTCTGAATAAAGATGCTATAATTTACGAAATTAAAATATTTTTACTAATTTTATTTTTACATGTTTGTACTGGTCGTTGTACAAATATATCATTCATAGGAACAACATTTATGCGCACACAGAAAAAAAATAATAAACACTCCACAAACATATTAAAAGCTACTTAGACAGTGGCAGTTCTTGACTTTAAGTATTACAGCAAGTATTAGAGAAAAATTATAAAAGCTTTGATAATATTGCAAGTTCCACTTGATTTATTATAACAAAATTATCAAATGCAAAATGGTAGTCTTTTACTTTTATACTGTTTTGACTGTTGTTATCATAACACTGAATCTTTTCCCAAATCTTAAAAGTGGCATACAATTTTTCTTTTAGAAATAAATTCTAGGTGTTTAAATTTTTAATCATATTTGTAAGTAATGGTAAATTCATTTGCTATTAATACATAATTTCTGGGAGCAAAAATGAATTATATGATATAATAAAATCAATTGTGACTAAATATTCACATTAAAAATGAGGAGGCTAGTACTGCCTACATTTGAGATACCATGACATGTATAGAGCTAGCTCTTCTACCTTGCTGTGTAATATTTTTATGAACTACTTAGTACAAACTATTTATGACACAATATGAGAGATCCCCTAAGCTTTATATATATATATATATATCTTTTAATTTTTATTTATTTTTGTGTAAAAGAACTGGGGTGTAGGCCAGAGGTATAGGAGGTGAGAGGACTGAGAAGATTCACCAGACAGAATGGGGAGCAGAACAGACATATTATATCCATATGCACTGAAGCAGATTTGCTGAAATACTCTACTGAAGGGAGCAGTAGGAGAGACAAGAGAGATCTGTCTGCTGTGTCATATATAAGTCAGAACCAGCTTCCTGGCTGGTGATCCCATTCAGGCCACAGAGGTGACAGCAGTGAGACTTAACCCTTAGTCAACCAGGGAGGCCCCAGTTTATATTCCTCTATTGAAGTAGTTTCTACATTTCTACTACTTCTATAAAATACACTTCTGTGTGTATTGGAGTACTGTGAACATTGACTATAATATTCTTAAATAACTACTTTGATTTTGCTAAAATAGCTTAATATCTTCAAGGGAGAAATAAATACTTTAATCTCCCATAATAAATGATACTCTGCCATAATAAAGGATAAATAAATTATTTAATCTCCCTCCTCAGAAAATAAGGATGGAAGCACATGCAAAGTTTGCAGTTCTTTGGCATCTCACAAGAGACCTCCATATAAATAAATCTTCATCTTTTGCACGATCTTTTGACAGGTTAGTTATATTTTATATTCAGATTCTAGTAATATTAATGTTTCTATTCTTGAATTCTCTGACCAATTTAGAGAGTTAAAAGGTACAAATTTGTAAAAGAGAATTTATCTTTTTTAAAAAAATTTAACCTATTTTAAAGTTCATTTATCTACCAGATTTTCCCTTTCCAGTTCTGGAATGAACAGTGCCTGTTCCTTTCATTGGACAGTTATTCATCAACTCTTTAATATAGGCAGTACAACTTATTAGATATTAGGGATATAACAAACTATATTGTTCATTTGAATATTTATTCACATTCAGTGAAACAGTATATGAATAGTAAGTTATATAATTGTTTCTGTCCCAACTATTCTCAACTTATTTTTCTTAACTGGACTTAAAATCTGTAGTTAAAATAGTAACAGATCTCTTCCATGAATCCCAAAAATCTATAGCTGCCTGAGAGTTTTTTTTGATCCTTGTCTAGACTCTTTAGATGATCCATACACAAAAATGAGATTGGTATAAACTTCCTTTTATATTGACATCCATAAGTGGATTAAGTTAGTCTCACCAACAGGATTCAGAGGTAGCTACAAATTTAACTATGTTTAAAGCTTAGTTTAGGATTCTATGTGTACTTTAATGGATGTTATTTCAGCTGATGGTTCCCAGGCAACATTAGAATTTATAGATGATCTGCTACTGAACCGCTATATTGTATGAGATTCAGGTTCTAGACACTTTCCAAATACTATCTCTAATTTGATGAACACTTTAGCTCATTATACAAGTAGGTGACTTGTATAATGTGACTTTTCCAAGACCACCCATGAAATAAAGAGATGGGTTTCCTGAGCTCCATAGCTTACATAGATGTTCTTTTCTTGAAATATGTACATAGCTTTGACTATTAAAGTAAGTGGGAACAGGGGAGCAGAGAAATAGTGCTGCATTGTAGGAAATTCAGTATTTTATTCTTTTATGAACAAGAATGTGTTGTTAAAACATGACTAATTTTTTTTCTGTTATCTGTATCATAAAATTAATGAGTCTTGCATGCATATGTTTTAAGAAACATAAGTATATAAAGGGAAAAGAGCTATTTCCTCATCTGTTGAGATTGTATGAGTTAAGATTATTAAAATATGGTGGTCAAAGTTACCTTGAAGTATGAGTTGTATAAAAGAGTTAATTTAAAATAATAAACAACTTCATAGTAACATTAATTTTCATAAAATTGGAGTGTTGCAATTAAAGTAGGTATTTTGTTCTTTATTTTAATTATTGGTGTTTGTTGTAGGTCACTTTTCATCATGTTAGATAGCCTTAACAGTCTCGATGGTTCTACCAGCTCTGTGGGACAAGCTTGGTTGAACCAAGTCCTACAAAGACATGATATCGCAAGAGTTTTGGAACCATTGCTATTGCTCCTGCTTCATCCCAAAACTCAGAGGGTTTCAGTGCAGCGTGTACAAGCAGAACGCTATTGGAATAAAGCTCCTTGTTACCCTGGAGAAGAGAGTGACAAGCATTTCATGCAAAATTTTGCCTGCAGCAATGGTGAATATCACATGGAAGTAGTACAGTTTTTCTTAGAATTAAAATAGTAAAATAGAGAGGTGACCACCAGAGCAATTAGCAAGAGAACTGAATGTGGTATTTTCCCCATGGGCTTTTTTCCTCCCTTTTCATGCACTTGTGGTACACGTGTGGGCCATGTCAGAATGTACTATAGCAATGACCATCTTGGATTGCTTACCAGTTGACTATTTTAGGGGAGGAATCAGCACAACTCTGGTCAGAGATAGTCTTTGATGAAGATACCTTAAGTGTTTATTTGGTAGTCTTGGCCCTACAAGACTTTGTAGATACTTCCCTGAGAATTGTAATGCATATTTATATTTCATAAGTCATTTTCCATATCTGGAAAATAGGAATAATAATAACCACCTGTCAGGGTTTTTTATATTACATATAGTTATGTTTGTGACATGCTTAGTGCAGTGTCTGGCATATCATAAATATTTGGTAAACACTCATTGTTACTATGATATATACACTTTACAAGCTGTCGTGAGATCACCTATATAATACAGAGAGATAATTGCCCCTAAGATTTTTTTCTTATACATTAGGAAGCCATCTCATTTGTAAGTCTTATCAAAAAAATTTGTGAGGTCAATAATAAGGAGCTTATTCTATTGAGCAAAAATCTGATGCTTAGTTTGCTATGGCTTTCTCAAAATCCCACCACTGATTAAGGGATGAATTTAAAACTGAAGTCTCATGCTCCTACTTGCTCTTTAGTGTGTTTGTTCAGAGCCGTGATTCCTCCTCTAGCTTCCTTTTTTCACTGACTGCTCTCAGTCCTCAAAAGCATCCTCTACTCTTATTGCCAGAACGTCTTTGTGTTAGTGCTTTACATACCATAGTTACTGCCTGTCTGCTAAAGTCTCACCTCTCTTGAGATATGTCTTAAAAACCACCTGTGGTATCATGAGCTTTCCCCTGGAGGTGATAATGTACGGGTTCTATTCACATCTAACTAAGTCTTCTATCCCCTCTAAAAGAATGTCATTAGCATTGGGTGCCCCTCATGAAAGTATAAAAATTGATGAATGATTTGTGATTTCCAGCTAATGTGTTAAACTTAGATCAGTGGCTGTCTTTTCACTCACCCTTACTGTTTCCTAATTTAGGGTCTTACTCATCCTAGATAGCTCATGAAAGTTTAATTTTATTAAAATCAAAGAGGTGATGTATTTATATATTTATAGAACACTAACTACTTGCATTCTTAGAAATAGAAAAAATAAGTATCACATAGGAGGGAGATAAAAAAGCAATAATTTTTAAAAACAATCTTGTTTTTGAGTCCCTGCCCCACAAACAATATGAGATTTCTCCCCTCAGATGAAGTTATCATGGTTTTCCTATTACCAAAAAGCTCTCTATCCTGCACCACACTTTACTGCATTCTACTTAGTCCCCTGTTTTCTACTGTCCCCTATTTCTTCCCCTTCCCTTCCTGAGTGTCTCAGATCTACAATCTGCTATTAAGATTTGGTCTTATATTTTGTTTTTGTCCAATCCTGTGGTTTCTCTAGATTCTTCAGATAAGTGAAACCATCCCACATTTCTCCTTATGGTTTCCTTTGCTTAGAATCCCTTCCAGCTCCATCCATGTTGCTACAAATAGCCTTAGTTTATCTTTCTGATTGTCAACTGGTAGTCCATTGTGTATATATATAGCACATCTTGATTGACTCAACTGTTCTGGGGCATTTTGGTTGTTCCATATCTTAGCTATTGTAAATAGTGCTGCTGTAAACATAAGGAGGGCAAGTTTTCTTTTGGATTATATATTTTTATGGAAGGCACTAACGTTTTAACTGCAATATAAATGTCATTTGTGGATAGGACAAATTGCTATATCTGTGTAAAATGGGCTGTTGTGTTTCATTCTTTTGAATAGTAACTCTTCTAATGTGGAACGGTCTTATAAGTTCTAGTTAATAGTTACCTACATAATTTCCTATCTTAATAGCAAAAAATAGTGTATTGTTTTATTATTAATAATGGTTTGGTTTTATGGTTTAGTAATGGTTTTATTAGTAATAGTTTTATTATTAGTAGTAATAGAATAATAGTTTTATTACTAGTAATAATAGAATAAAATAATGATAAAATATAATTTTAATAGGGAGACATGAGTATGTGATAAAACCAATGATTAAAAATCTTGAGTTCTGTCTTCATGCCTGCATTTCAGTTGTTTTAATGTAATTTTATGTTTTCCTTTACTATTTTTCTCATATGCCAGTAAGCCAAGTACAACTGATTGCATCTAAAGGAAATGGTGAAAAGCCACTTACCATGGATGAAATAGAGAACTTTAGTCTCACTGTTAATCCATTAAGTGACAGACTTTCCCTGCTAAGTACCAGCAGTGAAACAATTCCAATGGTTGTATCTGACTTTGATCTTCCAGACCAACAGATAGAAATACTTCAGAGTTCTGACTCTGGGTGCTCACAGTCCTCTGGTGGGGACAATTTGAGTTATGAAGTTGATCCTGAAAATTTAAATGTCCCAGAAGATTCTCAGATGCCAAATGCAAACTCCCCAGATGATGATGTTCAACAAGTAGTGTTTGACCTCATATGTAAAGTTGTAAGTGGCCTCGAAGCAGAATCAGCATCAGTTACCTCTCAGCTAGAAATCGAAGCGATGCCCCCCAAGCACAGTGATGGAGATTCAAGCAAGGAGGTGACTAAATGTGAAGAAAAGTCCACTCTGCAGAGTCAGAGTGCATTGCTCAGTAATGAAAGTACACAGCTTCTGGCTGTGTCTGCGGAGGGAAGCCGTGAGTGCCTTGCAAATGGAATCTCCAGAAATAGCTCCTCACCTTGTATTTCTGGAACCACACACACTCTCCATGACTCTTCTGTTGCTTCCACAGAAACCAAGTCAAGACAGAGAAGTCACAGTAGTATTCAGTTCAGCTTCAAAGAAAAATTATCAGAAAAAGTCTCAGAGAAAGAAACAATTGTTAAGGAGTCAGGTAAACAACCAGGAGCAAAACCTAAAGTAAAACTTGCCAGAAGAAAGGATGATGACAAGAAAAAAACTTCAAGTGAAAAACTCAAACAAACTAGTATATTTTTTAGCGATGGTCTGGATTTAGAAAACTGGTATAGCTGTGGAGAAGGAGAAATTTCTGAAATTGAGAGTGACATGGGCTCTCCAGGATCACGAAAATCTCCCAGTTTCAATATACATCCTCTCTATCAGCATGTATTACTGTATCTCCAGTTGTATGATTCATCAAGAACTCTTTATGCCTTTTCTGCCATCAAAGCTATCTTGAAAACTAACCCTATTGCCTTTGTAAATGCCATTTCAACCACAAGTGTAAATAATGCATATACCCCTCAGTTGTCTCTGCTTCAGAATCTGCTGGCCAGACATCGAATTTCTGTCATGGGCAAAGACTTTTATAGTCACATTCCAGTAGACTCAAATCATAATTTCCGGAGTTCTATGTACATAGAAATCCTTATTTCCCTCTGCTTATATTACATGCGTAGCCATTACCCAACTCATGTCAAAGTTACTACACAAGATTTAACAGGCAATAGAAACATGCAAATGATGAGCATAGAAATTTTAACACTCCTCTTTACTGAGTTGGCAAAAGTAATAGAAAGCTCAGCAAAGGGTTTTCCTAGTTTTATCTCTGATATGTTATCTAAGTGCAAAGTTCAGAAAGTGATTCTTCACTGCTTGCTATCATCTATCTTTAGTGCACAGAAATGGCATAGTGAAAAAATGGCAGGTAAAAATTTGGTTGCTGTGGAAGAAGGTTTCTCAGAGGACAGCCTTATCAATTTCTCAGAGGATGAATTTGACAATGGTAGCACACTCCAATCACAACTTCTTAAAGTGCTTCAGAGGCTCATTGTTCTGGAACACCGGGTAATGACTATCCCTGAAGAGAATGAAGCGGGTTTTGATTTTGTTGTATCAGATTTGGAACACATCAATCCCCATCAGCCTATGACCTCTCTCCAGTATTTGCATGCTCAGCCGATCACATGTCAAGGCATGTTCCTCTGTGCAGTGATAAGAGCTTTGCATCAACATTGTGCTTGCAAGATGCACCCACAATGGATTGGTTTAATCACATCTACTCTGCCTTATATGGGGAAAGTTTTGCAGAGAGTGGTTGTTTCTGTGACACTACAGCTTTGCAAAAATTTAGATAACCTGATTCAGCAATACAAATATGAAACAGGATTATCTGATAGTAGGTAAGTATTAATTTAACTTTGTTACTGATATATTTTTCAAATATATTTGACACTTGTCAAATACATGACAACATAATTGTCTCGAAAGTCACAATTTAAGAAAATAATCTTGTCAGTAGGTTACAGATAGATTGTTCACAAAAAGAAAATTAAGCTTGTGGAAAAAGAACTATAAAAGCATCATGAATGAAAAAAAAAAAATGAAGGACCAAACAGGCAATATTCTCCTAGAAACCAAAATTAATTTTGTTGCTCTTATTGACTGGGTTGTAAAAGTAATAGCTCAGTAAAGGGTTTCCCTAAATTTACATGCTGTGTTACCTAACTGCAAATTAACTTCATACTAAATGGTGGTTAAAATTACAAATGACTCTTTCCCATGTGTTCTCATTGCTTTTTTGGATCTTTATGGCTTGATTTCATGGTGAATGTCGTCTGTATTCCCAGGCCATGTTCAAAATTAGCCATTTACTTACTAGTAAACTAATGTGTGGTTTCTTAGTGCTGTTACAACATGTAAAATGAAATTGCCAGTATCATTTAATATTGATATGATTACCAATTTGTAGTGCTAGAAATCTAGTGACCGTATTTATTTTACATAGAAATTTTTAAACAAAGAGAATTAAATATATGTTAAAGTGCATTTAGTGTTCTTTATTTAGTAGATTAGGATATAAAAGCTACTAATTTGTTATTTTAATCATTTATTAATGTAATATTGTGCCAAAACACATGCTGGACATTTATTGTCACTAAACCTTCAGCTTTTTGTAGAACTTAGAATCAAATTAATACACTTAATTTCAGGCCTCTGTGGATGGCATCAATTATTCCACCAGATATGATTCTCACTCTTTTGGAAGGAATCACAGCCATCATTCATTACTGTTTGTTGGATCCTACTACCCAGTATCACCAAGTAAGATTGCACAAACATATGACTCCTTTTTAAAGATTGTGGGTTCTAAAAAGGCCCTCTGTTTAAACCTCAGTAAGTGATGATATGTTTGTTTATTTTTCCCCTTTGATCATAGCTTTTGGTCAATGTAGACCAAAAACACTTGTTTGAAGCCCGCAGTGGGATTCTCTCAATTCTTCATATGATCATGTCCTCTGTGACCTTGCTTTGGAGCATACTCCATCAGGCTGATTCTTCAGAAAAGATGACTGTTGCTGCATCTGCATCTGTTACCACTATTAATCTTGGAGCCACAAAGGTTAGACAATTCACACTTCATCTTTGGAGCTCAAGAATCTCTTCAAGCACTTTTCCAAAGATTACATTCAGTATTTATAAATAACACAAATTGTTTAAATAACACAAATTGTTATTTGTAGCACTCTATGGGTTGAGCAGTTAATTATCACCTATCTATGATATGACATCACAAATTCATTTAAAGTATATACAATACAATTATTATTTTTAAGTAAGTTTATAGAGTTGTGAAACTATCACCATAGTCTAATTTTCTGACTTGTCTATCACTGCAAAAAGATTCCTGGTTCCCATTTGCATCATTCCCTGTTCCTATCTCTAACCCCTATCAGCCACTACTCTGTTTTCTTCATATATAGATTTGTTTTTCTCAGCATTTCATATAATGGAGGCATACATTATTTGGTCCTTTTTATCTATTTTCTTACATGTAGCATAGGTTTTTGAGAATTCCCATGTTTTTTTAAAGGACATTTTAAGTTGATATTTGAGCTTTTCTGGAAAACAGTTTAGCAGTATATACCAAGAGCTAGTAAATATGGCTATGATAATTCTTAGTGGTTGGGAAATTTCTTAAACATTTAGTGAGACAAAGATTTTGGTGCTTAAAAGTTTAGTATTACATAATTGAACAAATACTGTATTTCCAATTTTATAAAAAAAATTACTAGCAGTAAAAGAAATAAAGATCAGAGTTAATAATGATAATCTCAGGATGATAGGATAGTTGACTTTAAAATACTTATCTTCCTTATTCTCAAAGGTACTTTCCAAATTTTTTCCTTTATATTTTGAGACAAATTACATGAGTAGTAGATGACAGTGTGTTATGCTGTGTTAGTTGTCAAATTGGTGTCTCTCAGTTTCCTAATCTTACTCCTAGACCTGTCTTCTATATTTGCCAAGTTATGGGAGCACACATTAGATTTGGGTGATGGGCAAAATTAGAAAAATTTGTCTAACTACTAATTTTCTATTAATCTATACTTTGTTGCTTGATTTCATTTAAATATGAAATGTATCCCACTTTCTTTTTTTTTTAAGATTTTTTTTATTTGTGCATACAGAACTAGGGTACAGGCGAGAGGCTCAGGGGTGGCGAGAGGCCTCACCAGAGACAGAGTAGGGAACAGAATAGGCAGATCTACAAAGTACACTGCTGAGGGGAGCAGCGGGTGGGCCAGGAGAGGTCTGCCACGCCATGTGGTCACCTCCAGGGCAGGCGGGAATCAAACTCAGGCGGAACAGGCTTCAGCTTCTCAGTTCTGTGATTTAACTGGCTGCGCCACCAGGGAGGGCCCCATTTTCTTTTTAAACTAAACGCCACATAAAAGATAATTATATTTCATATACTGTGTTCTTTTACTGCCTCAAGAGTGAATAGATCTTGCATTGGCTGTCAGTCATTATAACTTTATTAATATTTTTTTCTTTTACAATTAAAATGACCAAAAATGTATCTCACTTAACATTACTAAAGTTTCCTGTTAGGTAGTAAGACATATAAGTGCTATATATTTTTTTAAGAAAAACTAAAAGTGCAGTTTAGTTATTAATGCTTTCATAGTTTTTGAATTCACTTGTCATTTTCTTAAATTGTTTTAGAACTTGAGACAGCAGATCCTTGAGTTACTGGGTCCCATTTCGATGAATCATGGTGTTCACTTTATGGCTGCCATTGCATTTGTATGGAATGAAAGGAGACAGAACAAAACCACCACCAGGACCAAAGTATGTGTTTAATCATTTGGCACATTTTGGTTTTTCATTTTGCAGGCATTTGTTGAGTGCATGCTAATCTCTCCACTAGTTGCAGTGGGACTGGGATCATGTAAGGTGTAGGAAAACAATAGTTTGTCTACTGTTGTAGATCATGACTGGCTGCCAAAATTAATTGAATAAGTGTAAGAGGTATTTTATGTGAAAAAATATATATATGATTTTGAAACTTGTTATATTTTAAATAGGAAAGGTAAAAGTACAGTATAGTATATTTTTAAAATGCTAGTCATGTAGGATACAAAGTAAAGTTATAGAGAGGACATTTTTGACTAGTTTTGTATTACATGGTAGCTTAAATAGTTTATTTCTAAATGTAATTCACATAGTTGTTTTTGACTAGGTTACATGAGTATTGTATTGCTTTGTAAGTATGAAAGCTCAAAAAAGTATTCTCTATTAGAAATAGTGACTCATTTAGATAGGAATACTAGTAAATTTACTTCGGTATAAAGATCTTTGATTTGTCTAAGTTAAGGGTCCTGAGCTATTATCTGTGCTGATTTCACATTACTATATTCTGCCATTTCTAATAAAAATATGCATAAACGACAAATAGTAAGCATGACATTAGTTTGCACATGATAGTTCAGTAACAGATATTTTTGGACATAATTGTAATCCTGTTTAAATGCAATCAAGGATATGTGATTTAACGTGGCATATTCTGTTCTTTTATTGAAATTGTGAGTAAAATAATTTTAAAGAGCATAAACCTACAATAATAAAAATCAAGAAAAATAAGAAATGTCAACAAATTTTTTAAAGGTAAAGAATACATGCCTGGTATGTCACTCACTGACTTAGCTGAGTAGAGAAAGCTGATTTCTAGTGTCTGCAAGAGAGTAACCAATTCCCACTATAAACCGCAGATGGCCTTTAGGAGTGGAGTTTCAGGTACTTCTAAAGGCAAAAGATTAGAATGGTGCTGAAGTTTGGATTGATTAAAAGGATTGATTAAAAGTTTATATAAGAAACAATTAAAATATTTCCACATCTCATTTCCCTTTTCAGCCTCAGCAACCACCTAATTCTCTTGCCCTATCCAAAGTCAGGTGTACTCTATGGAGACTTTGTCAAAAGAGACTCTGGACCCGAGGACAAGAGGTTCACACAGACAGAATTAGAAGTTAGACTTTATGCTGAGAACAGGAATAGTCAGGGTGTCTGAAAGAAGGGAATCAACATCACCCAGTGAGATGGCAAGAAGCTTTATGTCCCTCAGGTAGATTTTGAGAATTCCACTAGGAAAATGACCAAGAAAAACCCATAGCTACTGAGGTCTTTTGAGTCCCGTAGTCAAAAAAAAAAAAAAAACTATTAATTACTATACAGGAAGATGGACTACTATATTAGTCTTGCACAAGAATTTTCCCACCACTCTATTTTTTTTTAATTGAGAAAACATTGGTTTACAACACCAATAAAGTTTTGGGATTATCAGTTTGACCTCTTTTAATGTATGTTACCACTCTAAACCCACCACCAGAACAATCACAATCTTCCACCATTTTATTTTTTATGAAAAGCAGTAACAGAGCACAAACTTTGAAATGAGATCACTGAGATTCAAGTTCTAATTGTTCCCTTCTTTACTCACTAGCTATTTGATCTCAGGGTGGAAATATTACTTTGTGAGAACCAGGAGACTGTGTATGTGTGTGTGTGTGTGGGGGGAGGTATTTGATCTCAGGGTAGAAATACTACTTTGTGAAAACCAGGAGACTGTGTGTGTGTGTGTGTGTGTAGCTATTTTACTTGTAAAATATAAATATGAATAGTGAGCTAAAGATTACCAGTCACAAGAAGGAAAAACTCTAATGTAATAAAACCAAAACAACTAGGTTAAAAGATAAATAAAAAGAAACAATGCAGGTAATAGAAGAAACTAATACCTCAATAAGTAAAAACATTTTGCATCCGTCAAATAAGGGGAAACTATAAGAAAGGTCATTGTAAAAGTTAAATTTCTTGGCTATAAAAACTTTTATTGTATAAACCAAAAAAAAAAATAGGTTAGAATATGGGGGGGTTAGAAGAGAATGTGTAAGAATACAAATTAGGGATATGAAAAGTAGGTGAAAGGAGATGAGAAAATTGGGTGTAATACTGGCGGCTCAATATCTGTTTCTAGAAAAATAAATATAAGGGGAGAAAAATATCCAAAAAATACACCAGAAATAAATGAGATTCCACAGGGCACTATAAAAAGAGGTCTACACAAAGATCATATGTAACTTCAGACCACTGGAAGTAAAGAGATCTGAATATCTTCTGAAGAGAGCCTACCCACTCTATCCATTGGCATAGGGACAAGATTTGTCAGTCTTGTTATAGAAAACATTGGAAAACTGTTGTGGGAAACTTAATGTCGACCTATAATTCTATACTAGCCAAACTATCACACTCAGGGTGTTTTGCGCCTTACATTGTCTTTTAAAAAATAGCCATTTATGCACCCTCTCTCAACTAATGTCCACCAAGAACAGCTAGAAGGAAGAATACATGGGATTCACACACAGAAAAAAAAGGAGGGGAATCACTCTAGTCTGTTGGTCATAGACAACATATCAAGATAATACTGTACACCAAACCTACAGTACTAATCCAGAAAGACATCAAGCCATTGTCTCATGAAAAAGAAAAGGAAAAAAAAAAAATGAAGAGAAGGAAGGTAGATGATTATTTGATGTACTTGAATATTTGGGATGAATTTGTGATAGAGAGCAGCAAGCAAAACAAAATATAAAAAGCATTTATTATTAACTCCAATAAAAACAAGTTGTACAAGAAAAGAAACAATAATATAATAGCACTACTGTGAGCAGGCATGTGAACACTAGATGTTGATTTAAATAAAAATGTGACATAACTGTGTTGGGATGATGTGTTAAAAAGTTTAAGAAGTGGCCTATATCAAAAAGAGTGGAAATGACATGTTGGGACTTGTGAAAAAGGAGCTTTCATGTGCTATTATAGTAATGTAAACTGATGTAAATAGTATGGCAATTCCTTAAGAAACAAAAACTAGAAAAATTCAGTCAGTACTTGGGTGTTTATCCCAAGAATGTGGAAGTACCAATTTGAAAAAATATCTGCCACCCCTTTATACTCCTAAGTTCATAGCAGTATTGTCCACCATAGCCAAGACATGGAATATACTGAATAAAGAATTGTGGTATAAGAACTCAGTGGAGTGCTATTCAGCCATTAAAGAAGATGAAACTGTTGCCTTTTGCAACAACATGGATGGAACTTGATGTGATTTTGCTAAGCCTAATAATTCATGAAGTGAAATCACCAGATGGTTTTGCTAACATTTTGATATAACCAAAGCAAGTGAACTAACAAAACACAATGAAGGTAACTTTAGAGAAAAGTATAGTGGTACCAGGAGTGGGGTGGAACAAAGGGTAGGGGGAGTCAGTGGGAGAGTAGGAATGACACTAGAATTCTATAATAGTATGAAATTAAGCTTCACATATAACGTAAGCTTCACATATAAAGGTGTGAAGCTAGACTCTCAAAATTTAAATAGCATTGCAAACCAATGGTAAAGCAATAGAACTATTTTTTTAAGATTTTTTTATTTATTTACTCATACAGAACTGAGGTACGGGCCAGAGATGGGGTGGGTGAGAGAATTCACTAGACAGAGCAGGGAGCAGAACAGGCAGATCGACGAAGTACACTGCTGAGGGGAGCAGTGGGTGGGTCAGGAGAGGTCTGCTACGCCTTGTGATCTCCTCCGGGGCAGGCGGGAATCGAACTCATGCAGAAGTGGCTTTAGCTTCTTAGTGCAGTGCTTTAACCCGCTGCGCCATCAGGGAGGGCCAATAGAACTATTTTCTTTTTTTTTTTAAAGATTTATTTGTGCATACAGAACTGGGGTATAGGCCAGATGTTCAGGTGCGGTGAGGGGCTTCACCAGAGACAGAGTGGGGAACAGAACAGGCAGATCCACGGAGTACACTGCTGAGGGGAGCAGCGGGCGGGTCAGGAGAGGTCTGCCACACCATGTGGTCACCTCCGGTGCAGGCGGGAATCGAACTCATGCAGAAGCGGCTTCAGATTCTCAGTGCTGTGCTTTAACCCACTGCACCACCAGGGAGGGCCCCAATAGAACTATTTTTTAAGGGCAAGAGGAGTAAATTATCTTCTAAAGTAGGAAGTCAGTAGATAATATCTAAAATATTTAAAAATAATGAAATAGGTAAAGAATAACTATTATTCAGACATAATGGAAACAGCTATTGTGTATGATTGCCTTGGCATAAGAGAGATAGGGCCTGAATTTTTTTAATGGTTTGTATGAATTATATTGATAAAAAATACATATTTTACCTAGAGTAGTCAAAGAAATTGAACAGGAACATCCTTTATATTAAGAAGAGACTGTAAAATAGTCTCTTAATTCCAGTTTTCTTAAAAGACTAATGTATTCTGGGGAGAAAATCAGGATGAGACCAGGTGTAGTGGGTGATAGAATTCACCAGAGACAGAGTAGAAAGCAAAACAGGTGTTTTGTTTGTTTGTTTTGTTTTGTTTTTGTTTTGTTTTTTAAATGCACTGTTAAGAGAAGCAGCTGGAGAGACAGATGCCTGTGCATGAAGAATTTGAAGTTATCTTTTACACTTCATGTGTTGGCTTTCTAACTTGGGGGTGTCGTTTTGCACCAGTTAGCTACTGGGCTGTCTGGTCTTCAGCACTGACACAGAAATGTGCTCTGGCCTCTGCTACTGCATTCTTGGAGCTGGGCTTGCTTTTTTTCGTCAGTTTTATGACCTTGTCCCCAAGGAAACCTACCCATTCCTTCATCTCTTCCAGCCTTCCAAAACTGCCTGCTGGACCTACAGTTTAAACTAAGCCCTTCTGCTTAGTTTTAAACTCTATTCAACTGTACCCAACATTATGTGCACACATACTTATATAAGTACAATGATTTGTTATTTAGGTCATTCCTGCAGCCAGTGAAGAACAGCTTTTACTTGTAGAACTGGTGCGTTCAATCAGTGTCATGAGAGCAGAAACTGTTATACAAACTGTGAAAGAAGTTTTAAAGCAACCCCCAGCAATAGCCAAGGATAAGGTAAATAGCACTTTTCTTTGCTTTTTTAAAACTATTTCAGAAATTATGCTGCTGTTAGATCTTCTTTTATGTATTGTCCTTTTAACTGTAAAACAGGTTGCAGAGGTGAGTGTTTTACTCTGCCAAGTAAAAACAGTTACCAGTTGATCTGCAATGACTTGCTATTGTGGTCACTCTGGTAGCCAGTGAGGAGCAGTAAGCAGAGTCCAAGTTCTGCTTACCTAGCTGTTGCCACTTTCACAGCTTTTCTGCTTTCTCTTCAGAGTGAGTCTCCGAATTTTGTAAACTACTTTTTCTTGGTAGCTATAATCTTAGTTATATAAGTAATTTCTTGACCTGGTACAAGACTGTGCTTTAGAAAAGCTGCAGAAAATGAATAATTTAGCTTCCGCACTCACACTGCATTGTCTTGATAGTCTTATATAAAAGCCTACAATTTAGTAAAATTATGGCAATCTACTTTTTCTACTCTTTGTTCCATAATACTGAGGTCGTATATTTTTAGAAACCACTTACCAGCTGCAAATTAGATTTTAAGCCAAACCAAAATAAACCTGATTTCTGTTCTTAAAAATATTACTACACATAAACTGAACTTTTTTTCTTTTATCTCTTTCAAGAATATTGTGAATTACTGATAGAAAAACTGTGTGTGTGTGTGTGTGAATAGCCAGTGTCCCTATTAACATTTTAATAATTTCCTAGTTATCCAGAAACCATATCACCCCTGGGGCATTTATGGTAAGATTTTTAATTTGTATGTGAAAGCTGAATTCAGCAAAATATTTTAAATATCTACTTTGCCAGACTTTGAGCTAAAGATGAAAGACACGAAAAACAAACAACCTGTTCTCCCTCACCCTTTTCCAACTCAGTCTGTCCTGCTCTCAGTCTTCTAAGTTTTAAGTCTGTAATATTTGGTTTTTCTTTCTGTGGTAAAATAACAAACCTTCAAGAGAATAGCTTTTACTGAAAATGGAACACCTTGGTAAATGTCAGTGGGTGTCAGTATAATTTTCTTGTCTGTTATGAATTTCCAAGGTTTTTTTTTTTTATTTCATGTTATACCCAAAACCATCTTTAATCAAAAATGATATTTTAGGCAGATTTGAATAACTACACTAATTTAACAGACATGTGAAATAGATTTAAATTCACATTTCTTTTAAAAATCTCACATTTCTTTTAAAAATCTCAATCCTCATACAACCAACCAAACATAAACTGCTTAAAATAGAAATCTTTTGGATACATGTAGAATAAGTGAATGAATCATTTAAAAGTAAATGAGAAAATTACTGTTTGATATGTGGGGGAGGGAAGAAATTAAGAATCTTACAGCTCCTTCCATCCAGTTTTCCAACTCTTAAATAGCTCTTGGTAGGTGATTTTTTTGTTTGTTTTTTTAAATAACTTAAGTCTTCCTTACTAAATGGAAGAGAACTGTTTGTTTGGTTTTTTTTTTTTATGGCAAACTAATATTTGACTTTGTTTCTTTTGATTTTCTTCAATTAAGAATTGTTGGTAAAATAGCTTAATTTCAATAATGAAAAAGCAAAGGCAGCATTCTTCACTGTAAAATTGGCGTCTTTTGTTTACAGAAGCATCTTTCTTTGGAAGTCTGCATGCTTCAGTTTTTCTATGCTTATATTCAAAGGTAAGATAACTTATGTGTATCTCTCTTTCCTACACTAGCAATGTCTAAAATTTAGTACAACACAGATAAAAAGCACCTGAATTCTTTTAAGAAGTTGTTTTCTCCCTAAAACTAAAAGAACAAATGCTATAACCAGAGAAACATTGCTTGTGAATAACTTATACAAGCTCTTAGGTAACTAGCCATAAAATGTCTTCAAGACCTAAGTGTAAAACCTGAACCTAAGTTTTGCAGATGCACTGGATATAGAAGGCAAATATGACAAAGTCATATCAAAACTAGAATCAACTAACTTTTTATAAACATAAATGAAATATGAATTTTGTTCATCAGTTATATTGCTATTGAGTCTGTTTTTATTTTGATATATATAAAGCATAGTAGTCATCTGATTTCTTTTTTTATGTTAGGAATGATGTGAAAGTAGCTGATGATTATTATACTATTCCAGTTTTGTGTTTAACAGAAGTTAGTTGATTTTAGTTTTGGTAAACTTCTTACTTGACCTAAATCATAATTCTTTTATAAGACAGACCTAAATTATAATTCTTTTATAAGTTTGTTTAATACCAAACTTGGCATCACTTTGTGATGTGTGGCAGGCATTTTTTTTGTGTGTGTGTGTGTTTTAAATAATATAATAGTGTATTTTTACATCATTTTGTGCCTTTTTCTATCTCAGTTGTAATCCCCGTGGGCTTCCCATAACCATATCACCCATATGCCATCACCATAGTCCAGTGCACTTCCCTCCCTCCACCGGTTTTGATCCCATTCCCCATTCCACCTCTGTAAAATGTTTCTGGTACATAGTTGTTCATTATTATTATTTTCACCCCTAATCCTTTATACTCCTGCTGTGAATGAAACCATCTGGTATTTTTCCTTTTCTTTCTGGCTTATTTCACTAAGCATGATCTTTTCCAGCTACATCCATGTTGCTGGGCAAAGCACATGGTTGGTTTTTTTTTTTTGGTTGCTGAGTTATATTCCATTGTGTATATTGTACCACATCATCTTTTAAATCCAGTCATCCACTTTTGGGCATTTGGCATTTGGGTTATTCCCATGTCTTTCCAATTGTAAATAAAGCAGCAATAGACATGGGGGTGCAGGTGTCTTTTTGAATCAGTGTTTTGTGTCTTTTGGGTAGATACCTAGGAGTGGGATTGCTGGATCAGATGGAAGCTCCATGTTTAGCAGTTTGAGAAACCTCCAAACAGTTTTCCATAGTGGTTACACTAGTTTGCATTCCCACCAGCAGTGCAAGAGAGTTCCTTTTTCTCTATATGCGCGCCAACATTTGTTGTGCTAGTTGTTTTAAGATGTGCCATTCTCACTGGGATGAGGTGGTATCTCATAGTGGTTTTCATTTGCATCTCCCTTATTACAAGTGATATTGAACATTTTTTCATATGCTTGTTGGCCATCTGCATTTCTTCTTTGGAGAAGTTTCTTTTTAGCTCTTCTGCCCATTTTTTTGATGGGGTTGTTTATTTTTGTTGAGTTTCTTTGTATATCTTTGTGATCAATCCTTTATCACTAGTTTTGTGTGAGAAAATTTTCCCAGTCAGTGGGATGTCTTTTAATGTCTCTTTTGCTGTACAGAAGCTCTTTAACTTTATGTAGTTCCTTCTGTTTATCCTTTCCATCACTATCATTGTGTTGGGTGCTGTATCTTCAAAGATTTTACTGAAGTGTATGTCGTGTAGTGTTTCACCCATCTTTGTGTCCAGGTATTTTATGGTTTCTGTTCTTATGTCTAGGTCTTTAATCCACTTCGAGTTGATTTTTGTGTATGGTGTGAGGTAGTGACCTAGTTTCATTTTTTTGCATGTAGCTTCCCAGTTTTCCCAGCACCATTTGTTGAACAAACTTTCTTTGTTCCATTGTATCTTCTTTGCTTGTTTGTCAAAGATTAGCTGTCCATAGACCTGTGGGTTTATATCAACTTTTTCTATTCAAATCCACTGGTCTGTGTGTCTGTTTTTGTTCCAGTACCATGCAGTTTTGATTATTATGACATTTGAAGTATGAGATTGTAATACCTCCATTTTGATTTTTCTTAGACAGGAAAGTTTTGTCTATTCGAGGTCTTTTGTGGTTCCATATGAATATCATCAATATTTGTTCTTTGAAGAATATATTTCTTTGAAGAATGTCATTGAGACTTTTATTGGATAGCATTAAACCTGTATATTGCTTTTGGTAGGATGTGTGGCAGACATTTTTAAAGCTGAATTATGTACTGCCCTTAAACTGATTGCAGTTAGAGTAAGAGCTGCCTAATGTCAGAACTTCGATATACAAAAGTGGTCGCTTATTGTTTGACTGAAACAAGGATGTAATCTTAATTTCTTTTGTGGTAAGAGGTTGATGTTTAGGGTAGATTGATAATTCTCCTGTACTTGAGATAGAACCTCATGTTATGAAGAGAGAAAGGCTAATTGTGTGTAAATCATAATTATCTTGCAGAATACCTGTGCCCAATTTAGTGGATAGCTGGGCATCACTGTTGATACTTCTGAAAGATTCAATACAACTCAGTCTTCCAGCCCCAGGCCAGTTCCTTATACTTGGGTAAGCAATTTCTGTTAAATGTTATTTTGAGTAAAAGAATAATGTTCATTGTCCTATATGCTGAATAAAAGATGTTTTGAGTAACCTCATTACCTTCTGATAGGATTCTCAAGATACAAAATTAGCAGAAGTTCTGTAAGACAGGGAAGAGATTAGCCAGGAAACTATGTACCTTTATTATCTACATAAAATGTAAATGTCCTGACATATAAATGTGTTACATCACTAGTTACTTAGTTGGTAGAGAATGTGTAATTGAAAGGGAAAAGGTAAGGAGGATGGCTGAAAAAAACTTTGTATAGGAGATGGTAGCTTAAGTTCTGATATTGAACATAAACAGGCTTGGAAAAGTCACTTTCTCTGTGTCTTGAAGTCTCCTCCTGATTTATGTGATTTGATACATTTTAGTCATCCTTAACTCTGAGCACCATGATGTGATGGACGGTTTTTTGTTTGTTTTTTGTTATTCACCATTATTCTTGTTATATAATCGATCCCCAGTAAACACTTACTCAGAGGTGTAGGAACAGAAAATGTTTGCAGCTACAGGAAGCAGAGTTATATTGGGGCAAGATACACTGGTTATAGAGTAGGGGCACAGGCACTAGGATGTGGGTGGATGTAAACAGAGATGGGAACTAGAGGGAGGAGGAGTTTTCATTGTAAAGAAATTTCATCAGAGGGTAGGGGAGTATATGATTGCAGGTTTTGAGGATGGAGTGGACTGGCATATTAGTAGGATGAATTCAGAAGTTAAAGAAGATGTAGGAAAAATGTGATTTGAAAGTTATTGTTAATGCCAAGAAAGATCCTAGGATTCTGAGTAGTTAACAGCAAAGACTGAAGTTACACTCTGCCTGAGTTCAAATCACAGCTCCTTTACTGAACTGTGTGGTGCTGGGTAAAGTTACTTAACCTTGTTATCTAAAATGAGAACCATAATAGCACTTGCCTCATAAAGTTAGGAGGATTAAGTGAGTTAATATTTGTAAAATTCTTTAGTGCTCAGTCAATAGTGTAATGTGGAAAGAAATAGAAGATTCTTAATAGAAGAGGCTCTTTGACTTTGCTAGATTTCAGTGACTTCAGAAGTAAGCAGAGAATGGAAGTATAAAAGTGAGAAATAAGGATGTATTCTAAGATTTTGCCATTCCAAGGATGAACCTTCAACCAGCAGCAATGCAATACAATGGGTACTTAAGAAGACAGAATATTAAGGTGCCACCCCACACCACGTGAATAAGAGTATGCACTTTTAATAAGGTCACACTAAATTGAAAAAGGCTACCCAAAATCTAAGGGAGAAAAGAATGATGATAAACTTTCCCCCTAACTTGTTACATTACCTTTGACTTTTTATTCATCTTATAGCTGTAATGGTGATTTCATTTAAGTAGATATGTGATTCTATATGTATAGATTTTGCTTCTACCCTCATATTAAGAATGAGGATAGTAATAAAATAGCAATTCTGATATGGCAACCAGTAGTCTAGAAAATTTTAAGGTAGAACAAAGGGAAGGTGAGTGTTACTCAGTAGGATGGCCTCAAGTTTCCTGGTAAGTATGGATATGGAAATAGAGAATGTGGAAGAAGAGTTGTGAGACTTAAGGAGAGGGTATCAGTTGACTGACTGACACTTAGTTTCAGTGTGTAAGAGATCCTGCTCCAGAATGAGGAATTATTTAGCAACTGGATGTTAATAAAAAACAGCAGTCAATTCAATGTCTGCAATTCCTGAACCAAAGACTAAGCCAACTATTGTGAGGGTAATTAATTAGTGTATATTTTTAGTGCTGAGGGAGAAATGTAAATACTAGAAATAAAGTCTCATGAATTTCTGATTCTTAGTTACAATCTTGTGTCCCTCAATAATTCTCTCCATGGTGGTTTTGTCATATATCAAGCAGAAACAAGGTTCTCCCCTACCTATTCCTGAGTTGTTTTAAGGCTCAAATGGAGTGCAAGTGTAGAGTTCTTTTAATTAGCAACAACCCTGCTGGGTAATTCTATCAACAATTGAGGATATCTGATGTGACTTATCCTCTGAGTCTTGCTATTTCCGTTTCTGTTTCTCAATAATGAAGAATTATTAACTCTTTGTCAATTTGTGTGTACTTTGAGTATTTAAGCAAAAAGTTCCAACATTTTCAGTTATACTAGAAAATTAATTCCCCATTAAAGTGGGGAATTGTTTTTTCCCATCCTATTGAAACTTTTAAAATTTCTAATTACAAAATAGTAATAGGAAAATTGCTTTTCAATATTACCTCAAGTATTAGTTTGCAAATAATTATGCATGTAATTTTTCTTAATAAAATCAAGTCATAGTAAATGTAGGTAAAATTTTAGAAAATACTTTAAATTTTTTTAATTATTAAATTTACTTGAAAATATTTTATTCATAAATTTTTAGTCTGTACATATACCAGGTTTAAAAAAATCATTTCTGTATTATAGTTTAAGATTGATGGGTTTAGTTGTTTTTGTTTTTTTACATTGATATGTGCAACATATACAAAAAAACTTAAAAGTAAATACGTAACTAGAACTCAATACAAAGTGAATGCACCAGCTATATAATCACAAAGCTAAATTAAGAAATAAAACATGTTACCTCAGGTCCTTTCTTTTCCTCACAGATAACTAATATTCTGACTTATAACAACTGAGATAAATTATACACACACACACATATACACATATATTTATTTGGTGTCTACTTCTTTCACACATTTTTGTAAGATTTATCCATGTAGTATTTCACTGTAAGAACAGGCCACAGTTTGTCTCCCTGTTTCAGGACATTTGATTCCTTTTCAGTTTGGGGCCTTTACAGTTTCTTTAGACTAATATTTACTATTTTTCCCTTTTACCCTTTCAGAGTTCTGAATGAGTTTATTATGAAAAATCCTACTTTGGAAAATAAAAAAGACCAAAGAGACCTTCAGGTAAGGCACTCTCAATTTAGGGCTCTTGCTAAGACTTTTCTCAGTGCCTGTAATTCTAAAATGAGAAGGTCAGTAAGATACCTGTGAAAATTTGGGTTTTGTCTATGCATACATACATATAGTGTGGTTTTTCTTTATTGTTTCTTTAGGATGTGACTCATAAAATAGTGGATGCAATTGGTGCAATTGCTGGTTCTTCTTTGGAACAGACAACATGGCTGCGACGAAATCTTGAAGTTAAGCCTTCTCCCAAAATAATGGTTGATGGAACCAATTTGGAATCTGATGTTGAAGGTACTGATCGCAAATGTTTAGGTTTATATTGTAGACCTAGAAAATCATTACAGGTACAACTGTGCCATAAAATTATTTCTTAAGTTTAGCAGGTAACTTTTGTGAGTGGGGAAAGACCTAATTGTGGCTGCAATTTATCTGGTTAGTTTTTTTTTTTCTCTTATTTAGATATGTTATCACCTGCAATGGAAACCTCAAACATCACCCCTTCTGTATACAGTGTCCATGCATTGACATTACTCTCTGAGGTAATTACTGAGTTTTTCATATGTACTTTCAAGTAAACTTTTTCACAACTGAATATTGGCAAGTGTTTCTAACAGGAGGTGTGAATTTGAAAAACCATTTGTACTTATTAGAAATCACTATATAGAATTAACAACATTTCAACTTTGTATTTAGATTATTTCATTTAAATGTTTTTAACTTTAGAGATTACTCTTGTGCACTGTTTTTTTGAAGTGTAATTTTGAAAAAAGAAAAGTGCCTTTGTTTTATAGTATGGTGGGAGAAGTAGAAGTGGTATAATGATATCGCTATAATTTACAACTTACTAAACACTTTTCTTTGTATCCTCTGCAACTTCTTTTTCTGTAGCCTGTTACACAATGTTATAGGTCTTTTATGTTTCCCAGTAGAACTATAGATACTCAGAAAGATTGAGAACAAGACTAATAAGCCCAAATAGCTATTAACTGATAGACTTGGGGCTTGAGAACTTAATTCATTTCTTTTCTAGTGCCTTTCAAACTGAGTCAAGTCTACTAAATTTCTCATTCTCAATTCACTGTTTCCTTAATCACTATCACATTAGAAGGGCCTTGACATCTTTATCTCTAATTACATTGTAAACTTTTCCAATATTCATACCCTACAGTTATAATGGAGAAAATTGTAGCAAAAATAATTTATATAAAAATGGCAAAGAAAGATATGGCTTTAGTTTTGTTTTTTTTTTAAGATTTATTTACTTGTTCATACAGAACTGGGGTACAGGCCAGAGGCTCAGGGGCAGTGAGAGGCTGCACCAGAGACAGTGGGGAGCAGAACAGGCAGATCTACAAAGTACACTGCTGAGGGAAGCAGCGGGCGGGTCAGGAGAGGTCTGCCACGCCATGTGGTCACCTCCAGGGCAGGCGGGAATCAAACTCATTCGGAAGTGGCTTTGGTTTGTCAGTGCTGTGCTTTAACCCTCTGCGCCACCAGGGAGGGACAACTTTAGGTTTTTTTTTTTAATTTTAAAATATTCTCAGTTTAAAATATTCTTGGAGGCTGAAAATTACCTCTAAATGGAATACTGCTGTTACTGTGAAAAAACTACTACAACAGTTTTTACATTATACTCCATTTCTTTTTAGGTTTTGGCTCATCTTTTGGATATGGTTTTTTATAGTGATGAAAAGGAGCGGGTTATTCCTTTACTTGTAAATATTATGCATTATGTTGTACCCTACCTCCGAAATCACAGGTATTAACATTATTTAAGTAAATTTCTTAATTGTTAGAAACAAATTGTGTTCTTTTATTGCTATTTTAGGCATTATTACAGGATTACATTTTTATCTGATGATAAAAAATAACATTATGTCCCTTGTGGTTCTTTCTGCTTTCTATAATTATTTTAGGTAAATGTGAACAATTATGAATAACAGTATAATTAAAGTTACAACATGTAGATTAAAGTGGTTTTCCTTACTCCTAGTGCACATAATGCCCCTAGTTATCGAGCCTGTGTCCAACTGCTTAGTAGTCTTAGTGGATATCAGTACACACGGAGAGCCTGGAAAAAAGAAGCCTTTGACCTCTTCATGGACCCCAGTTTCTTTCAAATGGATGCCTCTTGTGTTAATCAGTAAGTCACTGCCATCCTTAATGATGTATCTCACATGAAGAGACACCCTACTGTTACAAAATAGAATAGTTTTTTTCACAATAACAGCAGTAACAAGATCTTAATTATATACCATAATCCTGTCTCTTTCAGTTGGAGAGCAATTATGGACAATTTGATGACACATGATAAAACAACATTTAGAGATTTAATGAGTGAGTATTGTGGGATGACAGACTATGCCATGTCTTTCCTATACTCATCCATCCTTTTATTTACTTTTTTCTAGGAACTACCATACTAGCTCATTGTCAAATTATACCTAGTACCCTATAGGTAATTAAGGAGAACACATAGTGACAACAAATAAGTAAAATTGTTTGTCCTTTTTAGGGCAAATCGTGGCAGAAAGGGGCCATCTCTAAATAGTCTTTAAATTGCTTCCCCTGCACATAGCATATATGTGGCATAAAGCAAGCATTCAGAAAGTAGGTAAAGCAGACAACTGAATCCAACCTTTGGAACAAGTTAATCTAAATCTTAGGCTCTTCTATGAAGGAAAGGAGCAAGGGGAGAAGACATAGTAATCACGCTCCACTTACCTTCTATCTGTCTTTACTGGTTTAGTATGTTAGGATTCCTCATAGTATTTCATCTAAAAAAAATTTACTTGATGTTTTGTAAGTCTAGAAGTTATTAACATACCTTAAATAGCAGTGAAGGAAGATTAGTCTACATGATTTTGTATAAGTTCTTTAAACTCAAACTGCAGTTCCCCTAAGAGAAGAGATATTCTCTTACATTTTCACAGTGTTGTTTAAAAGTTAAGATTCATCCATTCAACAAATATTAAAAGACAAAAAGGAGTCTATAATTAATACTAACCTTAATAAAATAAATTAGATTATCTCAGGACATAAGTAAAATATAAAGAAAATGGGGCAGTGACCTAGATATTAAATAAGTTACTGAGCTCATATTTCAGTAAAACCAAAAAAACTGAGAAGGCCGATGGACAGATCATTCCAGGCATAGGGAAAAAAAGTCATAGAGATCCTGTTAATAGGAACAAACTTGCATTCTAGAAATTGCAAGCAAGACTATGGCTGCAGAAGACTGAGCTGGGGGTGATGATAAGACATAGAGAAGGAGAGCTGGGTGGTCCAGAAATTATTACTGATTATTTTAATAATATGAAACATTAAAGCAATGAGGGAAAATTATGGATAAAACAGTGAAGAGTTTGATAAAATGGCATTATTAATTATTTTACTTTCTGAAATTTACAGTTCTACCCTAAGCTGCTCTTATTCTTGGATAATGTAGAGTATCAAGCCATCTTTAAAAGAAAAATATTTTTTGAATGACTGTTATAACCTTTCTTTCACTTGTTTTCAGCTCGTGTAGCCGTAGCACAAAGCAGTTCACTTAATCTTTTTGCAAACCGTGATGTGGAGCTAGAACAGAGAGCCATGCTTCTCAAAAGATTGGCATTTGCTATTTTTAGCAGTGAAATTGACCAGTACCAGAAATATCTCCCAGATATACAAGGTAAGTAGTCATTGTTTTTCTATCTTTAAAACTAGCTATTTTTGGTTTTTTAGAAACTATTTCCTCTAAATGGTAAGTTGGAGTGAAATATGCAAAGTGGAAGGCAGTGGAGAATGTTGTAGAATTAGACATGTTTTACAACAAAATTATCACCATTAGGTAAAAGAAATAAACACTGAATTTGTAGGGTACACTAAAACATGCTATTAGACAAATTTCCTGGGAATTAATGTATGAAGATGAGATATAAGACTGTTTTGCTACAGGCAGGAATTTTATTGGTTCTTGATTGTGGATATTGGGTTAGATACCTTTCCTGAGAGTGCCACAATGGGAAAACCAGTAAATTTGGCTGAAGTAGCATTTGGAGTTCTACTTGAGAGCATTTGGGACCAGGATTAGGGAGTGTACCAAACAGTAAATCCTGGCCCCACCATCATTAATAGGTTGTCGGAAATTTCAAGTAAAATGACAAAACCCGTAAAATATATTAAAACCGGCCCTCCCTGGTGGCGCAGCAGGTTAAAGCACTGCACTGAGAAGCTTAAGCCACTTCCGCAATGAGTTCGATACCCGCCTGCCCCGAAGGAGATCCACATGGCGTGGCAGACCTCTCCTGACCCGCCAGCTGCTCCCCTCAGCAGTGTACTTCGTCGATCTGCCTGTTCTGCCCCCCACCCTGTCTCTGGTGACTCCTCTCACCCTCCGCATCTCTGGCCTGTACCCCAGTTCTATATGAATAAATAAATAAATAAATCTTTTAAAATAAATAAATATATATATATATATATATATAAACCAGGTGCTCTAGTAATGTAATTTCCTTCAATATTGCCTGGATTCTTTTTTCTTATCAACACAATAATAATAAAATGACATTGATATAATGAAATAATAATAAATAAAAAGATTTTTTTTTAATTAACTATATCAGTGCTACTTATAATGTAGTGCTTGAACCATTACTACCCTGTTGTCACATCCATGATCAATACAGAAGTGTAAAATAGTTTAATCTTGTATGGCAATTTGATAGAAAATATTCAATCCTGTGATAAAATGGATTATACTATATATATCTTTAACTTGATTTTTCTGGTAATTCGTTTTTATATTGTACAAAAGTATCAATCTGCAACAGACTGAAATTATTTTGAAAGTTAGTCCTTCATTACAGAGAGTTTGAGAAGTACAAGGACAGATTATATTTAAAAGCCAGATTATTTAGATACTAAACACACTGCATTCCTTTCAGAGAGATTGGTGGAGAGTCTCCGTTTGCCTCAGGTGCCAACTCTTCACTCGCAAGTGTTCCTGTTTTTCAGAGTGTTACTTTTAAGAATGTCTCCACAACATCTTACCTCGCTCTGGCCTACTATGATTACAGAACTTGTGAGTTAATTTCAATCTAAATTGTAAAATTATAACTAACACTAAGCCTATTACTATAATTTTACAACTGAAAGTAGTAGAACAAGCCAGCTGCCACCTCCATACAGCTTAAACTTACAGATGGGCAAGCATTAATTCCTCATGCATCTTTGCATCATCTGATCTGACTTAATTCAGTCTTTTCACTAAATTTATGATTTTCCGGGCATGGTTCCTACCTATAGTGCAGACTCCTCCATAATCAGATAGCTTAGCTGTATTTAAACAACTGACAAGTCATGCGCTCACATTTTGCATGGAGCTCTCACCCCAGTTAAGTCTGCTTCAGAGAAATGCACACAGGTTTTATAAATATTCAAACAGGAAAGCCTTCCCATGTCCATACACTAATCCATTTCCTCCCCCAGACCATAGCCACATAGCCATTCCTCCTCACCTGAAGGACTTGAGGAGTGGGGGGTGGGAGAATAATAAAGGAATCTGTATCTCTGAAAACCTAGTATTTTGGAGATTCCAAACAAGATATTGGCTTAAATATTTCTCCCTTTTGTTAATAATGGACATCCCCCTACCCCCCCCCCTCACCCAGCCCCCAATGCCGCCCTCTCAGCTTGGCCAAATGATTGGTAAGGCTCTGTGTTAAATAATTTGCCATTTCACTGTAGAAACTAAGTATAATTTAAGATTCTAAAGTTACATCCTAAAATTTGTTTTTATATTAATGAAAACTTGAAAGAAAAAATATATATCCAGTTTAAATAAAGATTTAACATTTACTCCATGGTCTTCAGGTACAAGTATTTTTACTGATGGAGCAGGAACTCACTGCTGATGAAGATATTTCACGGTAATATATAATTCATTTCAGTATATTGTTGTCTCACATCCTAAAGTCATCCAGATTGTTACTTTACAAGATAGTATAGATACTGTTTTATCTGAAGATTACATTTATTTACTTTATTTACTGTTATTTACTTGATACTATTTGGAGATTATATGTTGTCACTTACTCCTTAAGCATTTTAAACTAGATTAAACTACCAGTATCTATGGCCTTTGATCTCTAGATACAAATTTAATTTAAAGCAATTCAGTGTTATTCCAGCTACATGAGCCATGTGGGTTTTGGTAAGTCAGATTATCCTTGAAATGTGCAGCAAAACCTGTTATGGCAGGTAGCCTGTAACTTAAGGTTCACATCTCCTTCAGTGCTCACAATTAAGGTACCATAATAATATTCTTTTAATGGAGGCTGCTTATTAATGTATATTTTCATGTAAGAATTTTTTAACAATTATGAAGTCTGCGACATTCCTTGAAGACTGGTAGTATTGGATGTTTTATTCTTCACTGCTAGATTGTATTTAGTCCTCTGTACTAGTAACTACTTATTGTTCTAGTCTCCCCCCAACTTTGCATAATACTCAGTAGTAGGAATGTCTCTTAATGTCATAGGTTATATTTTTATATTTCCTGTATTTTTGTGAACATAACAAGTTATACTGTTATTTTTATTTTCTTAAAATTTAAAGAACAATGAATTTTTGGAGAACAGAAAAACCAATCTAGTTATGACTTCATTAGGAATTACTGGTCAATTTATCAGATAATTATGAAAAATATTAGCTGCTATTTGAGATTTTCTAGGAATTGCCTGTTAGTAAAGAGGTCCAGCTGCTGACAGCACTGTCTCATGCTTTCAGGACTTCAGGCCCCTCTGTGGCTGGTCTCGAGACCACCTACACAGGAGGTAATGGCTTTTCTACTTCATATAACAGCCAGCGGTGGTTGAACCTCTATCTTTCTGCCTGCAAATTCTTGGATTTGGCTCTGGCATTGCCCTCAGAAAATCTTCCTCAATTTCAGATGTAAGTAAAAGCTTATAAAATGGTTATTTTTAAAATGCATTTGCTTTGATCACTGAAATCTAAGCCTAAATGTTTGTGTAAGTTTTTTAAAAAGTCATAAGTTTTATTAAAATAGTATTATTTTGGCAGGAGATGGGGTGGCACAGTTACTAGAAATAAATGGCTACTGTGGATATATTAACATTAATAGACCATGTGGTTAACAAATTTGAGTACGTACTGTATATGAGTATGCACTGTATATGAGTACGCACTGTATATCAAGTCAAGTGAAAAAGATATATAAACAGGATGGGTGTCCTAAAAGCTGACATGTTAAGATGCTGCAAGATGTAGCAGACACCTCCTCCTGGTTTTGATGGTCAGAGCTGGCCAAGGGAAGTTTTAACTCAGGTGGTAAACAGTGCAAGTTGCAGAAGTTGCTTGTATGTTAACTTAGAAAGTGGAGTAGACCTGGTGTATGTTTATGTGTGCTGAAAGACAAATATCCCTGGAGAATTTTAAAAGGCCACAAAAAGACCAAATTATGAAATGGCCTGACAGCTATATAAAAGAATTTGTATTTTAACCCAAGGGCAATGGAATACCATTAGAGATTTTAAAGAATGGAGTGATACTACCTACTCTCATTTTAGAAATTATAGTTTGGTTGCATAGTGTGAAAAAAGAACTAGACAGACAAGAATGGAACTAAGGGTCTATCTGTTGGCCTAGGTTTTAAGTCTCAGCACTATTACCACCATGGCCTGAGGTAGATCCCTGGCCAGGGAGGTAACCCACATTGTGCAGATCTCTCTCCTGTCTCGCCTGCTGCTCCCCTCAGCATTGTATTTCAGTAATCTCCCTGCTCTGCTCCCCACTATGTCTCTGTTGAATCCTCTCACCTCCTGCAACAGTGGCCTATGCCCCAGCTCTTCTACACAAAATAAAATCTTAAAAAAAAAAAAAAAAAAGAATGGAATTTAGGAGACTGTTTTATTTCAGATGGTTATTGAAGAGATGGCAAAGAGGGACAGAGAGAAATTAATACAAGTAAATTCTCCCAATGCCTTGTTACTAAGTATTTAAAAATCATTATTTCAATGTTAACAATTAAAATGTAGCTATGATAATTTGATAGTTTGTTGACATGATCACGTTTATGTTTTATTTTATAGTCTGGAGTGGAATATTAATGGGACAAAGAGTAAACTTGGAATCTCTTTTCTATATTTGGACATGACTAAATCTTCAAAAATTGATGTTTAACAAGCTTAATTTTCATAAAATTTAGTAAGAACTTTTTTGAGATTAACTGCAGTTCCTTAATTTTTATTTTCCATTTGAAAATCATATACATCTACTACTTGATGAATTTCAGTGATTGGGTAGCTATCAAATTGATGTTACTCTTGAAATTCAGAAAAGGCTGATGAGCAGACTGGTAAGAATATGGCCAAAATGAAGTGGGAGTCTCCTCTCCACACTTATGATAGAAACTGTACACTTCAGTGCTCTAGGAAAAACAATTAGTAGTATTATCTCATAGTACTGACTTTTTTCCATGATGAAAACCAAAATGATTTTCTCATTACTTGTTAATATACAGTGGAAAACAGATGAATTATGTCAATTTTTTAAAGACAAAGTATACAGATATAACATGGAGAATTTAATAATTTTGAAAGTAATATATGTTGTAGGCATGATATTTATAATTCAGCAGTTCAAAATATTTGCAAATTAAGAACTGTTTATCTAAAAAATACCACAAAACTTAAAAGGCAGCAGTGAATGGTGAAAATTTTTGCAGTGTATATGAAAAGGTATATTTTACATAATAGAAAAACAATCACTACCCAATATAAAAATGCACTGATAGTTTATCCTGTTTCAGCGCACCTCTTTTTTAGAAAGTGATTGGCCTTAATCATAAGAGCAGTACTATTCCAAAGCAGATATAATTACCAAAGGTCTAAGTATGACAGTTTCTTTAAACCTGTAGTTCTGATACCTCTGAGGATTTCTCTTACCACTATACATTCAGCTGTGTACAAAAAACAAAAATCAGCATTAAAACATTTATAATGGCAAGAAACTGGACAGTCTGATTAAATCTGTACTTTCTGCCACTGGAATACTACACAGCAAAAAAAAAGTCTGTTATCTCAAAAATAGCTAATTTAAAAGTCATCTTTTTTTGTTTCAAAGAAGAGGGGTTGGCTGTGTAAATAAGTAATTTTTTATTTGTATGTTCTGGGTGGATATGCAAGAAATTGGCAACATTACTGGATCTTATGGGAGTGAAGCTACCTATCTTTGTATATTTTTTTAGTGTTTGAATTTTTTAAGTTTCATCAAAAATAGAGAAATATGGAAGGATTCTTAAATTTTTTAAAAATATTTTCAGTTCCTTGTCCCCTTACTGTTCAGTTAGGAGACATTTTGCCAAGAATGGTTTGGAGATTTGGTCTACTAAAGAATGAAGAAAACATCTGTTAGGTGGGTACTTTGTGCTCGTGAAGAAAAAGAGCATATTGCAAATTTTCATATTCATTTATTCATAAATCCACGAGGGGATATTATATTTAGTAATGAAGACAGGACTCATGTTAATGACTTTGTCCAAAAGGACAGGGCTACAAGCAGCACAACTGACATTTGAATCTAAGTGTTGGGGTCTTGCTTGATGTTTTACTATGTGAACTTGTCTTAAGAGTTCAGCTTACTGACACTGATTTCATTTTCTCTACATAGGTATCGATGGGCATTTATTCCAGAGGCCTCAGATGACTCTGGACTGGAGGTCAGGCGGCAGGGCATACATCAACGAGAATTTAAACCTTATGTAGTACGACTGGCAAAACTTCTTCGGAAAAGGGCAAAGGTAATGCATTTTAAAAAGTGTTTAAATGTGTTGACAAAACTTGTAACATACATTTCATCATGTTTTGCATACTTTAATCTTTCAGTATACATCAGGCTAATTAACTACACATATTTGCCTGACAAAATAATAAATTTGCCATGCTCCTTGGGCTTTGTTAAAAATCAACACCCTCCCCCACCACCCCCACCCCTTTTTGTTTGCATTCAAAAAATTTGACCCAGGGACATTGTGGGTAGTTTTGTGAATCATAATTTGCAGTATGTGCTTTGAGTGCTCAGAAACTTTCCAGTCTTCTGGGGTTCCTTATTCAGGTAACAACTCCACATTCCACAAACTATAGAAATGGAATGGAATGAAGTAATTTGAGGAATATGAGAAACTTGATTGTAAGATGAAATTAAATTATTTCTTTAGGAACTGTGTAAAAGGACAGAGGTGAATATGCAAGTTGGTCCAGAGTTTAGACTAGGACTTGGGTATTTTCATTTGGTGTATAGTTCAAAAAAAAAAAAAATTACAGCAAATCCAGAAGTAATGAAATTGTTTATGATCCCAGAGACATATACTACTTCTCATTTCATCTCATTAGAAATGAGTTTTTCTAAGACCCTTCTGTTGCCCCACAGAGTAAGGAACTCATTTTCCCATGCAAAATACTTTAAACAGGTCTTCATGACCAAGTATACTTTTCACTGGAACAAAGGCTGTGAGTTCTCCTCTTTCCTTCCACAGGACAAGGAGGAGGACTTTAACACAGTGATTTTGGAGGGAATGGAGATGGCCAAGCATCAGGTGAGGGTGGCTTTTTGATGCTTGTGAAATGGCAAAAAAGTTGCCATATCTGGACCAAATATTGAAGACAGATCTGAATTTCAATAAGGAAAAGAGACATAAACAGGGAATCTTTTGAAGTGTAGGTTGGTAAAATGAAAAGGGAGATCATTTTAATTGAACATGTTTAATTGATATGGTATAATTCTGCTTAAAAGCAGAAACACTGAAACAAGTGCACTCTCCTTGGTCAAGAGTCTAGTAGAACTCCTTCTTGAAGGTGCGCCTTCACAGGAGTATAAAAAGGTTATGCCTTAGTTCTTTTATGTCAGAAAACTAGCATGTAAAGAGCTATCATTTTCCTTCAGAATAAACTTATACTGTACACCTCATGCCTGTTAAACTGCAGTTTAAATTAGATAGTATACTCAACCAGTTCCAGTGATATGAGAGCTGGTCCCAAAACTGTCAAGAAACAAAGATGACTTAGTATATCTAATAAAAAATGATCACAATTATTTCCCCCTGTATTTGGGGGGGTTATAAAGAACTGACTTTATGAGGATTAAAAAAAAAAAAAAAACAGCTGAATTTTGCCAGTGCTTTTTCCACTGGTAAATTACTGATAACTAAAATATTTGATATTTGATAAACACATAAGCCTTCTTGACATCTGATGTTAGAAGGCAAACTCCACTTGTAAAATGAATGACAAATTGTAATTGTTTCCTAGGTTCCACTGAATGAATTTTTCTCCCACTTTTCAATCTGATTTGTTTTCATATCTCTGATTCTGTCCACAGACATCTTTAGTGCCCACAACTTTTTCTAGAGAAGACTGATTACAACTGTGTGTACAATTCAGTTGTCTTAAACTAGCCTTAGTATATGTTATTGTGTGTTTCTATCTAGTTTACAATTTTTAAATACATTGTTAACTGAGTTTTCTATGGCAAGGTATTTCTATTTTATAAGTGAAGAGTTTTTCCCCAAGGATGCTATGCAGTAGGTTAATAGAGGAGCGAGTTGACTCCAGCTTTCCACACCATGTTGTTTAGCAAAACATTGAAGCAGACAGCAGTGTCCCTCCTCAGGGGTCATTTCTATCTCAGCAGTTACAGTACTCACTTTGGATCCTGCTTACCATCTTGTGGCAAGTTTAAGCAGAAAATTTAACATTAAAAGGCAATCGTAACTGCCTAATGGTGTAATGCATTAATGTCCACTGTCCCTTCCCTAGTTATTTTGGGTCCTATTTCTTCCTATTCGTGGGAATCCAGAAATCTGGGAGCTTTTTGAGTATATGCAAAGCACAGCATAAGCTTTATATTGACTTTCCCTATTGTAAACTAGTTCTGCTAAGTTGACTTGTGCATTCAGTGTTAGACCCTTTCTATACAGTTATGAACTGGTATAAAAGGCCTCAGAAATAAGAGTTTCAAACAAGTGTGGTATAAAGACAATGTCATCATTTATACTCATTTCTTTATTCTACTGATGTTGATCTTTTAAGTTTTCTCATGAACTACATCATCTATTAATTCCAACTCCTTTTTTGTCTTTGCAGAAAAACCCAGAGGAAGACAACTCAGGGAGAACACTGGGCTGGGAGCCAGGGCGCTTGCTGCTCACCATTTGCACAGTGCGCAGCATTGAGCAGCTCCTGCCGTTCTTCAATGTGCTCAGCCAGGTCTTCAACAGCAAAGTCACCAGCCGATGTGCAGGACACTCAGGGAGCCCCGTCCTCTACTCAAACACCTTCCCTAACAAGGACATGAAACTGGAAAACCAAAAACCATTTTCCAGCAAAGCCAGACAAAAAATAGAAGAGATGGTAGAAAAGGATTTTCTGGAAGGGGTGATAAAAACTTGAGCACCACAAGTGGTATCCATTTAGCATAAATGTAATTATTTAAAGCAAACATTGCTCTGACTATAGTTTTTTTTTGTATGTAACAATACATTTCAGGTTGTACTTAATTTAAATATTTGTAAATAAGAGCAAATGTCTGAATGTGGCCTGAATCAAGTTTAAATATTGTTGGCTCTCACTGATTATGGTGCCTAAGAAAGATCTATATATACGTATATATAGTCCATTGTTTCATTGTCCTGAAGTTGTCTTAAACCTGCTAAATACACATTGCACCTTTTTTTCTAATGGTTTCAAGCTTTCATTTAGATAGGGGATTTTTTTAGTACTGATTCTGACATCAGAATGGCATCACTTTTTTAGAGGCTTGGTCAGCTATTACAACGAGCTTGCTTCCATTTACCTTCACTAAGGAGTACAGAATCGAAGCCTGGGCATCTCAACACAGCCTCCACATTCGCACTTCTGAATTCCTAATGTTCATTGAAGAGGTAAGTTATTTAAATGTTGAAAGCTCTGCTATGAAAAAAAAAAAACAAAACTGGTTATATACATCTTTTCCACTTCCATTTGTAGTAACAGTGGGGGAATATAGCAAAACAACATCCTGGTTAGGTAATGGCAATGAACTAGACAAAGGGAATAAGAATTTTTCAGCAATCACTATGTATTTTTCCCCTGCATACAAAAAATTAATGACTGAAAGATATACTTAAGTCTCAATATTTTACATTAGTGAGACTGAAAATTGAATTTAACAAGGTAAGACATAATTATTCTGGTACATTTAAGAACAACAACCCAGTAAAGTCACTGAGTGTGTAAACATGAGATTATAAATGGACCTGACACAATAGCAGTACTGTTACTCTAAAAACTTCTTAAAAATTCATTTGTCTTCAGAAGCCCGGTGAGGTCTTTCTCCAATTCCTCCAGCCAGCTGAAATACCGCCAAGCTCACTTCATGTGCAAGGCTGTCCGCACTTTCCTGCAAATTAGTTAAAAGGGAAAATTAGTTAAAGGGAAATTGTAAGACACAGCATCCACCATGTGAACTGCAGGTCTGTGGGGGAGGGGCCTCCCGATTTTGTTTACTGTGTTTTTCATCTTTTAGTAACATATTCCAAGACAAACAGAAAACAAGTCTAGCTCAGGTAAGTCCTCAGTTAATTAAATCAACTTAGATAATAAAATTCATTATTCCAGAAGTCTGCAAGGAGGCTACAGGGGCTTTAATGACACTAATTGTTAAGATCTCAGTTCTGCTCTGATTTATCAGGGTTATTTATTTACTGTATTCCCAGATGGCCTAAACTTCTGCAAGAAATAGGGAATCCAGAAGGACTAATTTAAAAACTCTACTTGCTTGTGCAAAACTTGTGTCAAGGATTTAAGAGAACAGACCAGTGTATATCTAGACCATATATATGATATATACATATATACACACACACACACACACAATAGAATACTACTCAGCATATAAAAAGGTAAGTTCAGGGCTCTTTTAGCATGGATGGAGCTGGAAGGGATTATACTAAGCAAAAGAAGTCAGAATAAAAACAGTAAATATCTGATAGTTTCACTTCTATCTGGAAATCCAGAAAAAAAAAAAGGATCAAAGAGAAACTTTGAAAGATGACCACTGATATGAGCTATCCAGGATGGGAGTCTCATACAAAATTTAAGCACAATGAATGATGATAACAAGTGATTTCAAAGTGGACCTCAAAAGGTAGTCCACTTTGGCAACAATTAAACAGGGGGCTTTCAGGTAAAGATATTAAAATAATTTCTTCTCTTCCTGCCATCCCTCATTAACCATGTTATTAGACTCTCACTGCACATTTTTTTTTAATAGCACTATCCCAGCTTACTTGCGAGTCTGCTTCTGCGTATACTCGGACTATATCTTCTGTCCCAGATGGCCGAACAAAAGCTCGAGAAAGTCTGTACTTCTTCACCAGGTTATTTACTGCCTCCTGTAGTCCCGGGGGTGTAACCACTTGTCTCTCAGCATCAGTGGTGCTAATAACTTGCCTGTCTGCAACCTACATACAAGCATGCCAGTTATCACTGCACTCCCTTTCAGAAGCTTAGCTTGTTCAACTACTTCCCACCAAAAGACTGCCATTTCATTTTAACAGTACTAAAGTATGAGCTTATGCAGAGAATAGAACCAACTTTTTATTTTGCTCAAATCAGAACAATTAACATCTGTATAGCTTCTTATTTTTCAGCCTATAAATTACCTTTTGCTAACATTTCCATACTTTCTCAAAA